CGTGGTCGGAGTTTTCTATGTTACCATCACGCGATATCGCGTGATCGGATTTTTCTAAGTTGCAATTTTAGACAAATTTTGAAGTCTTGTACACGAACGTTAAAATAATAAAAAGATGCTGATTTACAGGTGCGCACGTGAACGTACCGAGATAAACTTGTTAGAAACGAGAGAATATCGTAACAATGATCGTTATTTAAATCTGAAGCTATACTGGTATTTAATGTAGATCTCGTTGCGTGCAATTGCGTATGAAACTGATATTGGCTAAGGAGAAGTCAATTAAAAAGAAACGAACGATCCGTGCGGCACGAATGGAATTAGTCACGCTATTAATTGATTCATGCACGTTGATCTTATCGGAAAAAAATTGTTCGGTATAATCGATAATCGATACTTTCAGATATTTTAGATTGTTTTTAAATTAATAGATCGGCATTGTTTGCGCCGGTAATTATGGAAAGTTGAGAAAATATTCTTTGTACATTTCATAGACGAAGTTTCAATCTAAATACTACTGTAAGCATTATTACGTAAAGGCGATATTCATGAAATTACTAGTATTTTATATTACTAATATTTTATATATTTTATATAAAATTATTATATAGAATTGATCGTTATCTAATGTGAACAAATTTAATTGTGTACTCTGCAAACGAGTTGTCGTGATTGGTATTTAAATATTTTACAAAAGATTTTTCGTAAAGTAAAATTATTTAATATTGATTATAGTATATTTTTTATTAATTTGGGTTAGTATATTTTAATCAAAATATTATAACAATTTGTGGTTTTCATTTTATCAATTTTAATAATTAAAATGTCTCCATTTAGAGCTGTAGAATTTGAAAGAACGTGACGAAAAAGAAGTATATAAAATACTTGTAAACGTTGATAAATATATATAATATTTATATTTCAATGAACTATTAATTAATAGTCATGAAAACAGTATAAAATGTATGAAAGAAAAAAGTGTATATAGAGTGTATATATTTTGAATATTTGAAATTTCGCGCCCCGTTAATAGACGAATTTAACTATCTAATATCGATTGGAATACCGCGAAATTTTGAAAACGAAATATAGCATATATGATTTTGTCTTCTAATTTGTCCACAAAACATCTTATAAATCGATGAAAGTATAATATATAATTGATAAAATCGCTAATAAACTCCATATTATTATAAATCGAGGAAATTAGATACATAATTGAAAGTAGCGCGAAATTTTGAAAACGAAAAATAGCGTATATGATTTTGTCTTCTAATTTGTCCACAAAACATCTTATAAATCGACGAAATTAGAATACATAATTAATAAAAGCACTAATAAACTCCATATTATTATAAATCGAAGAAATTAGATACATAATTGAAAGTAGCGCGAAATTTTGAAAACGAAAAATAGCGTATACGATTTTGCTTTCTAATTTGTCTATAAATAAACATCGATGAAAGTATAATTGATAAAGCAATTGTTAATATTCTTGTCCCACGAGTGCATAACAAGCTTCGTGGAAAAATTATTTTTAGCATAAAATCGTTGAATCCGTTGTTTATAAAAGTAATTTAATCGGTGACTATCTTCGGAATTACTTACGATCCTGCGAAGGTTTTTCAGACGGCAACAAATCATAGTCATTAATGCCGAGTTCCTTGAAAGTTCATGCCAGCATGCGTGCATATCAATGCTCGCAAGCATTATTTGAAAGAAAGAGAAAAGATGGTTTATCCGTAAACGTCTGCAACTTATGAAAAAAAGTTTATTCATAAAACTCGTAGATCCTTCTTAAAAGAAAATATAAAGAAATTCGTGAGATACTTGAAGTTTGATAAGGAGACATTCCACGCAAAAATTTCACGTATCTCACGAATTGTTGACTGTTTACATTTGAACACATTCGACATTATCAGGATGTGTACAGATTGCACACTACTGTAAGAATGCATTTTCAGGTTTTTCGAATTTGAACATTTCGCGAAGATCCGTCAGTTAAGGTCGTATTTTTTTGTTGCTAAAATGACTGCAGAGAAGACACTATTTATAGATATCCGTATTGAGAAATATCGATACAGGTACACAGTGTAACCTGCAGGACTTGTTTCCTCGCAAAGAGCCATAAGAGGTTGCGGAGATCAGGATATTTAAGAAGTTCTTTACATTCTTAGCTCTGTCTCGGCGGTACTTAAGGTGGGTAATTTAAAAAGCATCGTATCGCTCGAGGCATTGCTGGTCTTTCCTCTAACGTTATTTTTGATCATTATAAAAACGTTTCGCAATCATTCAGAATCGAATTAGCCTTCGATCTACGAATACTTTTCAATCGCAGAATTTACGAGTTCTAAATCTCTTTCTTAACGATTTTTCAGCAAAGTCGTCGATTCGCAAACATTCGTGACATGCCTATTAGTGGTTCTTCATGCTTGCTCGATTCATGCGCAATTTTAGCGCGTTCAAGTACGTTTAGCAAAGTGTCAATTGCTTCGTGGTAATTGATGTCTCGTGTTGCCACTGAAAACTGTTCCACAACGTGTGGAAAGGTTGACCGGTTATTTGAACATCGTCGGGAATCTCAAACGTTGTTTGATTTCTTGGTCATCTCGTATTTCAGCTCGGTATCAATTTATTCCTGTACGATCTTGCTCGTCATTCAGGCTTGGAAAAATCGATTGGAAAACCTGCTTAATCGATGGATCATCGTTACATTAACGCTTCAATTTACATTATAATTTTTTACAGCGAAAATAATTCTAGGAATTTGTTTTTTATGTGGAGTCTTACATGATCTCATTTTATAATAAACACTGATGGCGCTAATAGCAACAAAAAACTTGAACAAGTATATATTACACAGGACAATAATACTGTACATGATACTAGCACTAATAGTAACAAAAGAATTCGAACAAGTATATTACAACAGAGTCAATACTGTACATAGTACTAGTATTAATAGTAACAAAATAATTCGAACAAGTATACAAGATGTCTCACAATTAATGTCCCTGAAATAGGACGTAGCTGACGTGATTCTGAATAAAATTTCCCTTTGCAAAAATGTGTCGTAGCTGGCGTAGCTTTTTCATCATTCCTAAATATGACCCACTTTCGCGCGCGCTAGAGCGGAACCTCCCTTAAGCCCCCGCCACTCTGCATTACACTTCAAATACAATTATAATAATCAAAATTATTTGTAGCATTAGTAGCATGATTTGTACATTGAGATCAATTATAACTTGCATAAGAATCCTCATGCACTTTCCTCATTCACATTGCAGCAATTGACTGACGCAACTGCCAAAGAAATCATAGCAGTTAAACAGGAATATGGAAACCTTTCCCTTTGTCGACTCGCCCCTTGCATTATGTTTTTCTCCAAGTACAAGAACCCGTCTGAGTCTGTTCCATCGTGCTACGTTTTCACAATTACTCTTACATTTATCATTTTTTATTTTGCTGCTATTACTGCTGGCATTGCGTACAATATTGACTCTGTAATACTATATATATTTGTTCAAATTCTTTTGTTATTATTAATTCTAGTATCACAGTATTGATTCTATAATACCATATACAGGGTGTCTCATAACTGGTGTATGTCCTTGAAACGTAGCCGACTTCATTTTGAATAAGATTTCCCTTTGTAAAAGTGCGATTTGGAGCTTCGTTTTTGAATTATTAAGGAAAAACACGGACCAATCAGAGCGCGATGCGCGCGCAGACGCGAGACAGCTTCGAGCCTAGCGGCTGAGCGCGCGTATTCCTCGCGCTCTGATTGGTCCGCGTTTTTCCTTAATAATTCAAAAACGAAGCTCCAAATCGCACTTTTACAAAGGGAAATCTTATTCAAAATGAAGTCGGCTACGTTTCAAGGACATACACCAGTTATGAGACACCCTGTATATGGTATTATAGAATCAATACTGTGATACTAGAATTAATAATAACAAAAGAATTTGAACAAATATATATAGTATTACAGAGTCAATATTGTACGCAATGCCAGCAGTAATAGCAGCAAAATAAAAAATGATAAATGTAAGAGTAATTGTGAAAACGTAGCACGATGGAACAGACTCAGACGGGTTCTTGTACTTGGAGAAAAACATAATGCAAGGGGCGAGTCGACAAAGGGAAAGGTTTCCATATTCCTGTTTAACTGCTATGATTTCTTTGGCAGTTGCGTCAGTCAATTGCTGCAATGTGAATGAGGAAAGTGCATGAGGATTCTTATGCAAGTTATAATTGATCTCAATGTACAAATCATGCTACTAATGCTACAAATAATTTTGATTATTATAATTGTATTTGAAGTGTAATGCAGAGTGGCGGGGGCTTAAGGGAGGTTCCGCTCTAGCGCGCGCGAAAGTGGGTCATATTTAGGAATGATGAAAAAGCTACGCCAGCTACGACACATCTTCCACGTATCTGTTAAATCTCCCGCCTTAAAAACTGTGAAGCTTCGAGTTTAAATTCTGAAAACCTCTGTATGTTTAAAACTGAGAAAATCTTTTACAAGAATTTTGCATATCGGTTCGTAATTGTAAAGACACCATAAGACGCTTACGATCGACTAGATCAGCGCAACAGATCTAGATCAATCATAGAAAATGTAATTAGAAAGGCAACGTTTCAAGGGTCATCGCGAACCTTAGAATTTCCATAGGTGTTTACTCGAGCGCTAAACGTGTCACTGTTATTTTCAACAGTGCTTGAATAAATTCGATAGAGTCTCATTACCATCATCCGTGAACGACACCTATAAATCCTTATCGTGTCAGACTCGGTTCGCATTTATTTCCATCCAACAAAGTTCATCTATTTTTATTGGATTGTTCAGCGTTCGTCGCACGTAAACACAGAAATCATTACAACGTTGTTTACTCCTGATTAATCATCGATTGTAAACGGAGCACGTTTACCTTACGGTTTCATTGAACGCGTGTTCTAATGAAAATTGCATTTATTCCGGACAGCTACGTAAGACAGATCCAGCATGCTATATCACGTACAGATCTTTCTAGAGTAACGCTAGAAGATCACGAACACTATCACTTTAGCTGTCATTAATTATTCAGGCATCGTGCATCGATTTGCGAAACGATTTATTATGTATTTATTTACTAAATTAAATACCGTGACCACGCTGGCGATATATGGGATCACTCTTACGCACGATGAATATTATAGTCACCGAAGCTACTGTAGTGGTAGTTGAAGTTACTGCATATAGGGATTCATAGTGATCTAGGGATTTTTGACGAAGTTTACACTGATCTAGAGGTCCCTAGGGATGTTTACACACTGATCTACAGGTCCCTAGGGATGTTCACAAAGATGTAGAGACTTCAGGGAAGGTTTACAGTCATCTAGGGATTTATGAGAAAGACTACAGTGATTTAGAGATCCCTAGAGATATTTACAATGATTTAGGGACTTCAGGGAAGGTTTACAGTCATCTAGGAATTTGTGGTGAAGTCTACAGTGATCTAGGGATCCCTAGGAATGTTTACAAAGATTTAGAGACTTCAGGGAAGGTTTACAGTCATCTAGGGATTTATGAGAAAGACTAGAGTGATCTAGAGATCCCTAGAGATATTTACAAAGATTTAGGGGCTTCAGAGAAGGTTTACAGTAATCTAGGGATTTATGAGGAAGTCTACAGTGATCTAGGGATCCCTAGGAGTGTTTACAAAGATTTAGAGACTTTAAGGAAAGTTTATAGTCATCTAGGGATTTGTGGTGAAGTCTACAGTGATCTAGAGATCCCTAGGAATGTTTACAAAGATTTAGAGACTTCAAGGAAGGTTTACAGTAATCTAGGGATTTGTGAGGACGTCTACAGTGATCTAGGGATCCCTAGGAATGTTCTCAAATATAAGATTTCACAAAAGCTTTATACTGATCTATGAATTCAAAGGAAAACCCATAGTGATCTCAAAACTCTATACTGATCCACTACTTCAAATGAAGTCTATGCTGATCTAAGAATCCATAGAAATTGATAGAATAATTAATATCAACTTGAAGTAAACCTTCCTATCAAGTTTAATTTACCTTACTTTGTTGTAATTTGATTTTGTAGAGACAACATTTATAAAACAACTTTGAATTGAATGTTTTTGTACAAAAAATATTTAAAGAGAAAAACACTTTAGTTAGTAAGGCGATTGTGCATATTTAACATAACTATGCTTAGCATTGTGATAACTTTATCCGAAGTTATGACGATAGTGTACAAAGCGAAAAGCATATAACATGTACCGCAGTGTAATTTGCACATTTTCAGGCATTTAACTACCGTCGATAAGGATTAAAAAATATGTACGTTGATTAAGGAAAATCGTTTCGAAAATTGCCTCGTAATAAATTGCAACAGTCCGATGGCTGATTTAATACTGTTTACATCGATATCGACGGAATTACGACGGATTCCAGCACAGGAAGGTACGGACGAAATCATGAATAATTTGGACCGTTAATCAAAGTCCAATAACAAACGGGATTTTTCATTAACGAGAATCGATTTAAAACTTGTTTAGTATTTTAGGATAGTTACGTTGACTAACAGTCGTTCGACAACCAGGAAAATTTGTAATAAAGTAATTATTCTTCTGCTTTTATATCATGAATATTTCATACTTCTCACGAGTTTGGTGCAAAAAAATAGCAAGTAATTATGCTACATTTTAGCTATAAGCAATTACGTGAATTAAATTCTAATTTTTTTTCTTAAGGAAAGATTCATGATTTTCCTTAGCCACTCTTTACATGAATAATTCATGTAGGGACAAATGCGTATAAAAACTTGTTATCATGCAAAACAATAAGTGATTACAATGATTGCGTTACATGGAATTCTTTGGGTGATTTATTGAGATATTCCTTCTATGATTTGAAAGATGAATCGAGTTACGTAATCGAAATTGTGCTCAAACGACTAGTTCAGAATACATAAAAATACAGACTAATTTAATAATTATATTCTATAGGAGACTGTGTTATATCAATATATATAATAACAATGTTATATCAGTATACATGTGTTATATCAATGTACATAATTGTAACATAATTGTATACTATTATGTATATTATTATACATATTATTATGCATATATGAATATATGTATATATATTTCCAAGGATATACATTATGTATATTATTATGTATGTTGATATAACACATGTATATTGACTTAACACAATCTCTTGTAGAATATAATTGTCTCTTGTTGAATATGTATATATGTCCCTACATCACAATTAAATCTTTGTGTCCCTATATTCTTATATCTCCAATTTCCTATACCCTAAGTTCTCTCTAAATCTGTATCTACAAATCCTTACATCTCCAATGTCTCTAAAATCTAATATGGCTAGACAACAGTCACCATCAATATCCCTACATTTCCCTAATTTTATTTAAATTTAAACATCTCATAAAGAGAAATTCTAAATGAAAATCTCGCTATCATATGACGAAAGCAATAAATAATAAAACATGTTTTGTTTTCCTCGAGTGAAACAGCTATACACGTTCACTTTATCCTGTAACCTTGGTCCAAATACCAGAGTGTAGAAATTTTGTTTTTCCGTCGATCCCGAAATTCGTCCGTTCTTCTATTAAACGTCTTGGAAGCAATTAATTTGTTGTCGAAGTTCGTACGAAATGCTTCTCGTTTCGAAGAAAAAACTGATTACTTCAATAATTCACCGCGTCGATCGCTACAGTGATAATGGGCGTATGTAGTCAGACACAGTCGCCGCTACAACCGATGCTCAGACACTTTGTGTTAGAAACATTGATAAAGCGATTATACAATCATCTTCGCGAAGTTTCAAACTTTAAATTGATATGCTATACATATCATTGCGCAATACTTTTATGTCATGTAATTGTGTTGGACTTTTCAGGTTTTGTAATCGTTTGACATGCAACAACGTGCATTATTTACTACTGGCTAACTGCCATTTTCTATTAAGAATATTAACGAAACGTTCCATTAGACATTTTCGAATCACTCAACTTTGTATCGAACGCTACGATGCATTTTCATATCTTCGGATCTTGTTTTGAAATCGTTCATCTAATATGCAATAATGTAGTTGAAATATTTCTACATCGGTCGTTTCGTTAAACTTCAAGCTTATGAATGGCATATTGCTGTACTCTTCAACATGACCTAAAATGATGTAACATGTATGATAAAAATTTTAAATGAGTCATTAAGTATGTTAAAAATTTTAGATGAGTCATAGAGTATGTTAAAAATTTTACGTAGTCACTTGCGATAACGTCTCCACACGTGTAGAAAACTAAATATAAAAATATCCTTAATCTGGAATTTAAAAATTCTCGAAATAATTAACCTGTACAAATTATTCTATAAATTAATTTCTTGCAACGTTATCATACCGTTTCTAATTCTAATATGTTTTCAGGATAATTCAGAAGTCGTGAATCGCCTCTCTGCAACAATGACGATGAAAAGCGTGAAAACGAAAATGGTACCGCCGGACGGAGGGTGGGGATGGGTTGTCCTTTCTTCGGCGCTCGTAGTCAATTTCCTTATTCCGGGAACCGTCAAATCATTCGGCGTCCTTTTCGTGGAGTTCCTCCACGTGTTTAAGGCCTCGTCCACCGCCGCCTCGTGGATGCCGGCTTTATGTTACTTCTTATACAACTCGTTAGGTAAATGATTTATTACAACCCGCCCTTTTTTCTTTGTAACTAGCTGCAATATAGCTCGTGAGTTATCGTCGAAAAAGTACGCGATTTGCAATCTGCAAACGAAATGAAAGAAATGCTTATGAATTTAAATAGAATCGCAAATCACGCGGTGAATACATTTTGCATCGTATAACAGGTGTAACTGCGACGTGTTTTAACACGTATTTCTAGAAAAAAATAATCATTCCTGTTGTTCACTTGTAATTTTCCTGTTAGTACCTGTTAGATTAGATACGAATACATTCTGAGAACATTAAATATTGATGACCAATAATTTTGTCTGTTTTTTATGTAATACAATAAATATATTGTCACACACAGTTCCTCACTTGTTTCGCATTAATTTTGTTCAAAAGTATTCTTCTTTCTTTTAGGTCCATTATCGAGTATCTTATCCACCAGGTACTCTTATAAAGTAGTTACCATTATCGGTGGTACATTTGCGGCCTGTGGGATGATGTCGAGTTATTTCGCCAATTCGGTTACATATTTATACGTTAGGTAGGTTATTTATTTTAGAACATGAATATTTTTTTGCTTTAATACCTGACGTCATATTCCGAGAATATCTTGGAAACATAATGTAATACAGTGCGAGTCATCTAATTGGCCGCCTCGATTAACTCTATTAATTGTAGAGGTATAAGTACCAATTATTTGCAAAAATTTGAATCTTGTATGAACTGTAAGATCGACGAAAAATGTCAAGTTCGATTAGTATCATTTCAATAGCCAATAAAACGGAACAATATTTATGCAAGTTTAGAGCGTCGCCGACTCCCCAGACGGCTCGCCGTATCTTGTTTCATGATCTTAACCAAGTAAACACAACTAGGTGTTTGTTACCAATGATCATCGGTTTACGATAAATTGTTGGTCAAACAGATGATAATTATATATTACATCCTTGAATTCGGCTTAAGATGCATAACAGAATGCTAATATATATGCTAATATTCATAATAGTACGCTAAATATGCGGTAGTACATAGTTAAGAAATACATACAGGATGCGACCGAATTCGCGGTAAAACCATAACAGTGACCTTTGTTTAAAATTAAACATCCCTCGTACGAGGCATCTTTTCTAGAAAATTAGTTTTGAAGATCTGCCAAGCACTTGTTGACTTTACTAACGCTCGCTGAACGACACTTTCACGAACAGAATATTTGTATACAATGCTTATACAACTTTCACAAATGACTAGAATTAAGATAGTTTTAAAGAATTACAATTCGCTTTTATTAATAACTGAAATTGTTTTCGTTGCTTAATTACATAACACTATGACGGCCCCAAACAAATTACTAAATGAATTATGCTTGAAAATCAATTTTCAAACAAAATTAAATATGTATGAAATTAAATATCAAAATCATGAGTGTACCACAAATTCGGCTGGACTCTGTATAAAACAAAAATCGAATGTTAATTAATAGAAAGTTGAAATTTACTTTATATAGCTACGGCTTAATGGTTGGAATTGGGGCCGGTTTAACATTTCCACCAACAGTGTATATTGTAACTTCATACTTTGAAAAACTCAGAGGCTTCGCTAATGGTCTGTGCATTTCTGGTAGCGCGATTGGAACTATTGTACTACCACCATTCTTACAATATCTACTCGACTGTTTTGGTTACAGGTAACATATTTACATTAGAAATAAATAATGTTTTCTAACTAACTATAATATGATTTTTTGTATTATCTCCTGATAATACCTTAAATATATAATGAATAACTGTAATTAGAATAAAATAAAACATCTTAAAATCTAAGAAACATATCATTTATCTTTTCAGAGGTGCTGTGCTAATCATGGGTGCACTAACATTAAATACATTAGTCTGTGGTTTACTGTACCATCCTGTTGAAGAACATATGATTCCTGCACCAATTGAAAAAGGAATTGACAATGAGGCATTAACCATAGATGAACCAGTTCTTGATAAAAAAAAACCGACAGGTAACAAGTTAAAAACATACAAAGTAATCTAATACCAAAATCTCTAAACCAACTCACAATGTCATTATTCATTACAGAAAATGAAACATTAGACAATGAGACTAAATTGAATGAAGAACACTGTTGTAAAGATGAAAGGACAATTGACAATTCTAAAGTAGAACACTGTTCTAAGGATAAATATGAAGATACAAGTGAAAATAAAAGAAGTGAGAAGGTGAAAGATATTTTACATGAGAAGGACAAAGATTCTAATGTAGAAGACACTCCAAACGATCAAGATGCTAATGTATTGAACAAAGAAAGCAATACTTCTGAAATCAATGTAACATGTAATAAATTAAAGACTGAAAAATTAGATTTGAATGACCATTTGCAAAATAAGCACAAAGAAGAAAAAATTTCTGAATGTTCAAAGAAAGATTTAGGAGAGTTATCAAGTGCAAAAACGTCATCGACCAAGGTAGAAACAAAAAGTAGACGACATTTTTTCGACTGGAGTGTACTTAAAGATCCAATTTATTTAGTGATTCTTATTTCTAATTCCACTTCAGCTATTAGTAATACTAATTTTATGATCCTGCTACCATCATATGCTATTTCACAAGGTTTTGATAAAAACTCCTCTGCTTTACTTTTGTCAGTTGTTTCTGCTCTTGATTTAGTTGGAAGGATCAGTGGTGCTTCTCTGTCAGACATTGATTTTGTGCCAAAGTACTATTATTTTGTCGGTGGACTCGGAACTAGTGGAATAGCCCTGGCACTGTTACCAATGGCAACAAGTTACACGATGCTTTCATTTTTCTGTGCACTGTTTGGATTATCTTCTGGAATGTATATTGGCATCACAACAGTTATCCTAGCTGATATGCTTGGTACAGAAAAACTTAGTTCATCTTATGGAATATCATTATTTATTAATGGAGTTTTGCAGTTGATTGGTCCACCTATTTGTGGTGTTGTGTTTGAGACTGTAGGATCATACAAACCAATCTTTTTAGCATTTGGCATTATACTTATTTTGGGTACTGCATTGTGGGCAGTAGTGCCTCTTATAAAGAGGAATCATAAAAAAAATTTACAGATTGTATAACAGTTCATAATTGTTAGCCTTTTTATGATAAAATTATGCGAAATTGTAAAGTATTATAGGTTTTTCAACATTCAGCATCGTAACTGCCATTTAAATAATTATATAGAAATTGTTTTCTATAGGCCATTTCATTTTTGTCACCAAACGTTATGAATTAGTCAATTATTTGAAGGTATGTAACAATGTATCATTAGTATTATTACTCTACTGAATATCGATTACAATCTTATAGCCGATTCAAATATACAATCTGATGTGTGTGCCTTTAACACACTTAGTGCCTCATAGTGTAATTACTCTAATTAATTAATCAGCTCAAAACAGTTCTGTTAAAAAAGAAATAGGAATGTATTTAGTATATAAAATAATTGGATTATTATTATATATTCCAATACAGTTGCACAGTAACAATATTGCTTAGTTAGTACATGACATGAAATGTATGTAATAAAATGAAATAACAAAAATCAAAAAATAAGATTAAAAGAATGGAGATAATAGTATTAATAAAATAGTACATAAGTTATAAGATTTTTGAAATCTTAAACATAGAACTAAGTATAATAAACGATATTAATCATAATTAAGGGACATGACAATATGAAAAATGTTGTAACATGTAATCATCATATTGTCAAACCTTTTAAAACGTAAATATGTTTTGATCATATTTATAAATATTTATTTTATAATCAAAGTAGTAGATATAAAAGTTATTTTAAATATCATAATGATTGTTGTTAAAAAATTGTTTAACAACAATCATAAACAGTAACATTAAATAATTTAGTTGTTGAAAATAATGAAAATATTAATACTACTTTAGGATAAAAAAATAAGCATCAGTTTGCTCTTTACAGAGAGCCATTCAAAAATTCACAATTGTACCAAAGTATTATTTTGTATACTACTGTCAATTTTCAATAGTTTCTTGGTGCTTAAACTTGATATATTAATTTTTTTATCATTATTGTACAGTGTATGTATGTGTTATCAAATTTTATATCCATTCCAAGAATGTATTTATAAAGATTCAGAATTTCTATTGTGCAATATTTTTATTGTTATTAAAATTTTTCTAGTGATAACATATACATGAATATGTTTGAATAAACATATATTTTTATACATTTCATTAGCCTTAAATGAACAAACCAGCCACTTTTGATAAATAAAACAATTGCTTTATAGTTCATAGATATGTACAATTTCTTAAAATTTCTCTGTTGAATAACACTAAACAAATTGATATAATCTATAATGTGTTAGTAACTACTGCTGCTTCACATATGAGTTGTGAATCTATTAATAAATGTAAAATATAATAATTTTATCATTTTAAAAAGTATTGCAAAATTAATTAAACATTTAATAGATAAACAATGCAATGCAATGATAATACAAATATTTCCAATTTCTTGTAATACAATAATGCATAGATTACTAATTATTTTGAAAAATTATTATGGAAATGAATTACTATATGTACATGTAAAATCTTAATTACTATACCAAATACTCAATTATTTTTATTTATGTTAGATATAAATTATAGTATGATGTTGTAGGGAAAAATAACAATCTGAATTTTTGTGCATATATTCAATTACAAATTCATTCTTATATTTGTAAGAATGTAATTCTACTGTGTTTGTACGATATAAATTCTTTATGCTTAAGATTTATTTATGAACTGACTGATGTACTTGGAGATTATTTTACCTGCTCAATTACAATTAATGTGAATTAAAATTAATGTAATTGTAGTTAAAAAATATTAGTACTATATAGTAATTTTGATCACACATACTTTATTAAAAAGCATAATAGAAATGTTTGCATTCAATATTTTTATTTAAAATTACCAGGCAATTCTTATAACTAAATGTTAGTAAATGCATTTTGTATTCAAACTGATGAGAATTATATTTTTTTATAATCATTTGGTATGTATACTATATGTAAAAATACTTTTAATAGTTTTATTTAAGAATCTTACACTTAGTCCTACATATTCCTTTAAAACAGTATTTAGAATATTCTATAACATAACACGAATTAGATTAAATGTTGAAACTTTAAATTTCAATTAAGTACTGTAGTTGTACTTTTATTTCTTTCAATTACTTTTAATGTTTGAAAACTTAGACTAAAATTATAGTATAACAGTGAAAAATGTTTTTGGTACAAATCTTTTATAGTAAATATATATTTCTGCTACTTTAATTCCAAATGCTATGTATTAAGGAGTGCATAATATGTAAAGAATCATTTTTTTATGGGTGCACGTGTATTGGAGACTTCAAAACTATGGTATTGAATGTTTGGTAAATTGATGAAGTAAAAAGTCAAATTAAATGTATGATCAGTTTTTAGTACATTAAATAAAACATGTACATGATAAATAATACATGTATAATAATATTATAGTTTCTGTAAATACACGCTAATAAATTCTATTATCATTGAATAGAAGTATAGTATTTGTTGTTCATGCGACATTCTATTTACACTTTATTATTGTGCTGTATAACTAACTTACAATAGTAAATATTACAAGACTACAAATATTCAGTATTTCCCATATAATACACCTTATCTACCGTCGTATTTTTCTACCCATGAAAAATATAATTGATATGAAAATAGGTGTACAGTATCCTATTGTTTCGTCTTTTTTTTTATTAAATCTTAAAGAAATGTCGTAGAATTATAAGCATCTTCTAAGGCATACAAAGTTATATTTTGCTGAGGAAGTAGGAGTTATGTTAATGTTTGATTTCAATCAATGCATTGGAGAACATTATTTTAAAGATATGGAAGAATGTAATAGAATATGCCCCTTTAAAATTTGATTTGTTAGTAATCTCTATATATCATTAACTATATATCATGCACCTAAATTTATAACTGTTATAAAGGTAATTGAATATTTCTTTTCTTCCTTTTTCTTTCAAATTAAATTTAAATATTATTCAGTGCAATTTGTTGAAATAGATTTTGTAACCTACCTAATAAACATGAATATCAACTTATTGAAATATCATCTGTTTTAAAAATATTAAAAACATTGAAATTCTTGAGTATTTTTTAAAACTTACATGTAGAATTATTACCCTACAATTGTACTATTTATTTCGGTTAGACTACATTTTGAGAAAATATATTTTAATAATGTAAGCAAAATTAAGCACTATATATAATATTATACCTATATTATTCTAAATATGTATATATATTTAAAATAAAATTTATTATAACATATGAACTTCCCATAATAATGAAATATATTACGCGATAAATTATTTACAAAACTTATCTCAATTTTTGAAAAATGATCTTAATATACTAAATTTGTACACATGGACAAAAATAAACAATATAGGTACATACATATATCAAGAAACCTGATTGTGCTAAACAGTATTTTAGTACTTACTTCAATGAAGAATGGATACATCTAATAGTACTTTAATGAATAATGATCCTCTTCAAACTCTTTTGCGAATAAGAACCTAACACGAAGTTTTGAGAAATTTCCACAACCAAGAAAATTTATGGAGCAGCGATTACGATGTAGCCGTCGTGTCCCTGCGTCCGCTGAACGACACAATTGAACGAATACCTTTTACCGACGTCTGAAATAATTGAAGTAAAAAAAAATAAATTAAAAAAACAAATTGATTAATAAGTACATGTAATTTCCTAGCATCCATAAATGTTATTTCTAAAAATTTGTTAGTATTACATTATATTATAACTTTTGACTTTAAATATAAAATGATGGCGTTAATGATAATGTTGTTAAAGATGATGAAAATGGTAACGATAATAGTTATTGATATTTAAGTTTGAATCATTAAATAAATATTAAATTATAACATAAAAAATGTATCTGCTAAATGTAAAGAATCAATCAAACAAGGACAAAAAATAAAAAGTTCGTAAATTTGTTAAGATCATATTAAAAAAAAAGCAAAATGATACATACAATGTTGGAAGTAAGGCTGCAGTTAAAAGTCGAATTAACAAAAGGTTGAAGAATGCCTGGAAGAAAAAAATATATACCAATAAAAAATCTGTTAACAAAATACTACAAAAATTTTATGAAACAAAATTTGTTGAAAATTAAAGTAATGAACATAAAAATATATAGCACTAGGATGTAATGTGTTGGAATATGGAGCGATGAGATATAGAGCACCGAGATAATTGCATGATAACACCAAGCAAATAACAAGCATAAAGAATAACAAAATCTCAGTTATAATAACAATAATATCATACATTATTACGTTAATTAGCATTGTTTTAATATACTAAAATATAAATTCATCAATGACATATTGACCTTTTTCTTCGAGCCATTGAGAAAGTCTTTGTACATTTCCGAACGAAGATACCTGGAGTAACTATCGCTTTTCATCAGATGATAAACGTGTGCCTAAAATTTAATAATACCAAATATTCTCGTTACTTCATTTGTTGAGTAATCAATTGTTTTGTTTTTAACAAAATATTTTTTTGAAATCTATACCGCTGCAATGTCAAAACACCATCGATCAGCTTTCTGTAAATTCTTCTTTGTTATTTCGTAAGACTGAGAATCGACGTTAATCGGACAACTAGCATCTGGACCCAAATACTCATTCCAGATTTCGTTCACTTTAGTCTGAACTTCTTTTTGTGGTAAAGCCTTCAATTCCTGAACAGCTTCCCAAAATCTAAGTTAAAAAAAGTTTTATACTTTCAATTTGCATTTATACTTATTTCAAGAGATAGAGACTGGTAACTCACTTTAAATTTTCACCACTAAATTCTTTATCCAGGAACCGTATAAACTGTTCTCTACCAACAGGATCTTGTAACAGTTCTTGCAAACTAAAAGCCCATCTTTTTACTCTTCTTGTAGATACTTCTTTTCTATTTTACAAAAGTCACATTTTTTATTTTTAACGTATTAAAAACATACGGGACAATAAAAATAAATATATACATACGCTAATCTTTCTTGTTCCCACATTTCTGAATTATCTGATATCCATGGATTTGTGAGCTCAGGTTGTATGAAAAAGGGATCATACTCTACATACTGCTCAAAATATGCTATTAAACTAAAATAATTAAAATATATCCTTATATAAACTTAACAGGTTAATGAAGTTAATAGTATATAATTTAAATTAATCAATAATAAGATATATCATTGGTACTGAATAGCTGTTAATATTTACTTACGCTTCAGAAACTTTTGAAACCTTTATGTTTGTTCTATCTAATCTAGACTTCAACATTTCAATTTCTTTATTTAGGACATCTACTGAAGACATTGCGTATGATTCTGAATGTGGAGAAATTTGACTACCACTTATACCGAGTTGTAAATGCTTATTTGATCTTGAAATCGGTTTATATGTGCGGCACGCCTTCTTGATATCTAATTCTGTTGTATTAACGCATCCCGGCTAAAATACATTATAACAATATGAAAAATGATAAATATTATTATATTGCTATTAAGTACATAAACATTGCATAATTGAAGTTATTACCATTGGTCTGTATACATCCCAAAAAGCTCTTTCTTGACTATCTAATACCTTTCGCTCTAATTTGTCTCTTTTTTTGTCAACTTTACTTTGTGCTTCTGCTTGCATAAAGATAAATTCCCACTTTCGTGAAAACATCTTTTGCAACTTAGCCAAATTCTCGGCTTCGTAATCCGCTAATTCTAAACGAGTTTTATTCTGCATTGTACGTTTACATAAATAAACAGCTGTAATATTTTAAACAAATATTTTTATCTGTACAATTCTTGGTCAATTTGAAAAAAAAAGATAAAACACTTTTCCTACCATAATCAGTATTCTCTGGTTCCCAGCAATTTGATGGCCAAAAATATGGTGTTTGAAACCTGTAGAAAGTATTGTCATTTTTTACAGTAAGGCAGTGGTCATCGATGGGGAAAAAGTATCCATGGGATGCCATAAGATGTGCTACATGAAGTGCTTCTATCAAATTATTAAATACATAGTTTTAGTTTAATATATTTTTTCATACAGTTCTTATTCATGTTTCTAAAATGTCAATTATACCTTGATCATCTATAACCATGGTTTTCATCATCCAAGATATTAAATCTGTACCTAAAATAATAAGCAATCGATTACTTTAATTTTTATATAAACAAATGGACATATAAAATAAATGATGAATATATTACCAGTAAAAACAGAAGGTGTTTTTGTCATAAAATTCTTAACTGTTTTCACTGGGACACCTGAAACTTCATCTGACATTTTTTCTACGATACTTTCCATCTAAAACATACAAATACAAAATACAATAAGAAAGAAATTTATCTCAAATATACTAAATGATTAAAATGAACATTTTTAATATATTTACTTTCTGATACACAAGAAAATTTGGTGTATCTTCGACACACGAGGCAGTGATATGATATGTTGGACTACTAGGAGATTTGTCAACTGCTTCATCGTGTTGATTGTTATATTGAATTATTTGAGTATCTCTGCTTCTCAGTCGTTCTGTTGTTCCTCCGACATCACTGTTTTCATTCGGTTTTCGGCGACATGCCGATTTTTCAGAATTCATAGTTACCATATCCAAGCTACATAAATATAGATATTAACTAATCTGTATATATAATTTTAAGTTGTTACTACATAATAGTAACGATCATTGATTACCAACATGGTACATATTAAATCATATCAACCAAATTCTTTTGATAAATTGCTTAAAAGTATGCTTACCTTAAAAAACTTTAGTTCCTCATAATATAAACAAAAATAGAGTACTATATCAACATCATATTTATCAGGATCTAAACCAATATCTAACAGACTCATTGGTCATTTTTTTACAAGACTTACAATTACACATTTCAAACAAGTTATGGAAAACACAAAATGACAGAATACACTATATAAAAGAAAATTTAAATAAACATTGCTGTTGATGGTACTTTAAACATTCAACTAACACTGTATTATATCACAAAATGAAGCTTATAAAACAATTCACCTAATTTAGTGAAAAAATAAAATAATTATTACTGATTAAGTGATAAACACAGTATAATTTTCATTTTCATTTAACAAGTAATTTTCTGTGAAGTGTAGCAGTCACGTTTTTGGTAAACAAGTAAGTATTCTTTAATCATATTCCATCTTTCATTTCAAAACTTAATTTTCACAGTTAAATACGTATTTGAAGCACGAATCTTTAATTTTGTTACACGATCAATATTCCAAAATCGCAAGACACGAACACTGCGTTTTTCACAATTTACACTTGAAAGAGCTTATGTTAGATTCAGATGCATTTTTCCAATTATTTAAGAAATAAACGTCAAGTGAATTTTACTTATAGACAATGAATTATTTTGTACAACTAAAATAAGATCAGCATCCTTTCCTAAGGGATAATTCCTTCATGTATTGAAGACGCGACTGCGCGTACGATTTCAGATTTCTATCAACAGTACCGCCATTATCACCGGGCAAACGGGGCACTTGCCCTGGGCCCCGCGGTAAAATTGAAATTATTAGAAATAACATATAATTGTTTTAATACATCCATCCGAATACAAAATTTACATAAAATGTTTTTTTTATAACAAAAATTACATTGACATTTAAACGTGTATTAATGTTATCGGTAATATATTTAAGTACTTCATATGTATTAATTAAATTATTAAAATACATTTCCATAAATAATTTTTATTTCTTTACTTCTGGATGCAATAAAATCTTTAATAAATTCAATTCCTTCTCAATATACAAGTTATATGCAATCCATTTCAGAATGTATCTACACACATGTAGTTTTATATAAACTTAATGTACACAAAATATATATATATTTTTTATATAAAAAAAAAATATATATACACAAAACAATTATAGCGTATTTAACATTTTACCATTGTTAAGTTATCAATAATATTCATGTTTATGAATTATTAAAAAATGTCATAATTCTCAGTAAAGTGTGAATGTGGCTGAGTGTAACTGCTTTTAGAAAGTATTGGATTTGATTTACAAATGTATTAAAAAGATTAAATTAACAATTTATATACTATTATTTCCAAATCCAGAAGATTATTATCAATTACAATATTATAGTCTCATTATACAAATTTTATCATCCTCTTTTTTTTTTATACAATAATAGATTTTAGAAGTAAAATTATATACAAAACATAATATGGCATTTGAGTTATTAATCACTGGTGCTAATAAATGTTTAGCATAAGTTGTTAAATTAATAGAATAACATTTATATCACATCAGTTTCATTCTTGTGTCTCTAGCAATGATATTTTCTTTTGTATAACTTTCATATACTAATTTATAGAAATAAAATATTAAAGAAAATAACAGTATGATTGTACAATATAACAAGTGTATGTTTTTTTTTTACATAGCAAAGATTCAACTGTACATAATGGTTATAGTTAAGTCAAACATTCTTTAATTTGTACTTATATGTAATAAAAATATATTATATCAAGTTTAAAATTGTTTACAATAAATAAAAATCTGTCGTTACAGAATTATAATAATACTTTCCTTCCATATTTATCAAAGAATTGACTCAAAATTTTGTTCAAAACCAACATTGTAATGTATGCCAATATGAGTATAATAATTTGTTTATTTATATCACATTATGCACACATATGTACACATATAGTATCATAATAATGTAATTATATACATCCATTTCTATATTATACACAATTTCGATTGTGTGCAAATTATTTATAAAAATAAATTGTAACAAATAACACGTTTAAATAATTAAAATTCTGAACTACACTTTTTAAATATCAAAATACTCATTGTTAGATTCCTAAAATTGAATTTGACATTTATATTTTTAACTCACACCATAATATATAATAGACAATTGTTTTCTAGACTAGAATCAACCACTTACTAATTTTTTTTAAATTTATATAGACACATGTATATTACTTCATTTTCTTTGTTTCGCTTTAAATAAAAGCTGAGAAAACCTAATTGTGAATTGTCTAGATTATTCTATATGACAGATAGACAAGAATTACCTATTTGTCTTCTTTTGTAGAATATACATTTCTTAAAACAATTCCATAGAATTCCAAAATTCTACTGTACATGAATATCACCCACTTTTAATAACTTTTGAATAACATCTTTCAAATCTTCCACTTTGCATATCGTTGATACTCTGGTTCAAGATCCAACGTTTCAAATTCGTCGATTTCATCAATATTAAAATCATATAAACTGTTATTTTCTTCAATATATTTTCTTCTTTCTAATTCCATATCTTCATTTTCTTCTTCACTTTCTTCTTCTTCTTCTTCTTCATCATCATCACTGTCTTTTGTCTTATTTTGTGCTACAAAACCATGTCAGTAATATTTATTATACAATGTCATATTTTTAATATTTTTATAACGAATGTTTATAATTTATATTGAAACTTATAAATAATATTTTAGTACAGTAAAGTAAAAATTTTGTTTAATGTAGTAAAAACAGAATACCAAAATATAGTGAATGTAGAATAAATTAATAAGCTGCTCAAAAATATTAATGATAATAATTAATCAAATCAAATCATACTTCAATTAATATGATTATAATATAAGCAATATGAAGTGTAGCAAACATTATAAAAAAGCCAACAAAGATATTGCAATAATACAATTTTATTTAAAATTCATTTATCATATAACAACAAATATAGATATATACATAATAAATAAATATTATGCATTTCTTAATGTAACTTAAATAATTTTAATAATTAACAATATCAAACACAACAATAAAATTATTTCATATTTAAATTTCGAAAACTGAAAAAGTTCAAATGTTTATTTGAAAATAGAAACACTTTCCAAAAAACAATATAGTGAATATACAACAGAAGAAAATACATATTAGTTTGCTCTGAAAATTTATATTCACTTAACTTCTATAAGAAATATATATTACTTTACTGTATTAATATTTAATAAACATTTGCTATAAATTTACAAAATATAAAATTTGTAAAGAGCATTTGATTTTAATATTAATAAAATACCTGTCAGAAATTCTAATTTTTTACTATCTAAAAAATATATTGTTTTTATATGTTAAGTGTTAAATAAATTCAGCATTATATGGACAAAAAGTGTTACATTCTCATATTAGATCAAGGAAATAAACAAAAATGAGATGAATATTTATGGTACTCTTTTGGAGGATAATTAATATGATTTTATTAGTTCAACAGACGTTATTGTAAGTGCAAGCGAGGCATAAGATAATGTTGAAATCAGCAGACAGAAAAAGCATTGCTTTTCAAATAAAATATAAAATTCAATGTAACATTACTTATACAAATTTTATTGTGATAAATATTTATAAATATTTTTGTTTCTTAATAAATGCCTAATATGTCTTTTTTTATAAAACAATATATTTTATAAATTTACATAAATTGGTATAATAGATTAACTTTATTATTTTATATACAATTTAAATATTAACAACTCTTAGTTTGCCACATCAAATGTAACAGCAAAAAATGAAGTTGTACGAAATAGTATTTAACAATCTTAACCATGGAATTATTGTTTTCACTGTAAGCTGCAAATTAAAACCTTTATTTGCTCAAAACTTTTTCAATTCCATAACATATCCTGATTTATATTTACTTTAACAGGATACTAGTAAATTTACTGTTTACAGTTACAGTCTGTAGCCAATTACATTGAACTAAAACTTTGTTTTAACAATAATTTGGACTTTTAATATTTTACATTTTCTGAGAAAATTTGTACCATTTAACGCAGAGAGTTTCTATTGTAATTATATATGAAGATTGATATTTATAGAATGAAATAAATTCCATCTTCTTTTCATTAAGATAAAATAAATTTTTTGAATGCAAATGTACGTATGTTTCTTTAATATCTTTTACTCACCTTGTTGCATGAATTACTGATGAAGATTCAGCAATTTTAGTACTTTGATCAGAAATAATTTTAATTGTCTTATTGCTTGCCGTGTTCACTGTACTCGTTGAACACATAGTTGTGGCAACTGCACATTTGATTGCATTAAAATATTTATGAGCTGTCTCATTTGTGTCATTTGAATTTGTACATTTTAAATGTTGAGTAGTAGTTGGTTCAAAATTACTGAGCGTATGAATATTTTCTGAGGAATTATTCTCCGTATCATTTGTTTCTAAGCAAGGCACGTCTCTCTTCAAATGGACATTAGAATCTACTTTTATGCATGTAGAAGGACATTCGGAATCAATTTTAAAATTATCACATTCTTGAAATTTTCTCTTGTCAAAATGCATACTTTTTTCAACATTATCATTTATAGAAATATCATCTTCAACTTCGATAAGTCGATCATTTTTATGAATATTTTCTGATGTTCCAGTTATAGCATTCGTAGATGAATAACATATTTGAGCTGAATTATAAAATGAAGTCTTTATTTTAACAGCATTGTCTGGCCAGTTGTTGGAAGGAATATTTTCTTTATCTGACATCTCACTGATTGAGATATCTTTTATACAATGTATCAGATCTCTAAGAACAGACCTATTAACGTTTGTTATATAAGAGTACGTTTTTGGTATAGGCATAACAATGTTTGCTTTTCTAACTGTACTAGTACTTTCCATAATAAAATTATTAACATCTGTTTTCTTTGTAATAAATGTTTGTATCATTCTCTGCATAATTGGTGCTCTTATATCTTTATAAAGTATCAAAGTACATAACTGTGTATTACTATCATTCCTAAAGTCAAAATTAGTATCTTTACATGTACAATTTATATTTGATATCTTTGTTTCAGATGTATTATTTACAGTTGCATTTCTCCAATGCGTACTATTATTTACACAAAATACATTTAATTTTTCTACTTCATTGCTTGGCATATTATGATTATCTGTACAAACATTTTTATCCTTATTACTACCAAAACTATGTATTCCAATAACTTCATTATTCAAACAATTATTAGAAGAATTTGATTCCACGTTTGTCTTCAGCGTGTTATAATACGTATGTTTCCCATCGCATACAAAACATGCCGAATTATCTTCCGTATTATTTACATTAAAAGTAGAATTATTCTCAATATTATCTTTTGCGTCTAAATTTAATATTACTAAACTGCGCATTCTGTCAGATTTATTTACAGTATTTGTATCATTGCTTACTCCATACATTATGCTACAAGATAAGGAATCGCTATCACTAGTAAAATTAATACTGTTTGTTGAAGTTTTATTACTCATTTCTTCTATCAATATGGAATCTACTTTGTCTAATGTTTTCGTTATATTTCCTTTCTTTACATCACTTTTAACTGCTTTTAAAGCAGAATATTCAGGTATACCTATTAACTTAGGTACAGGTACAATCATTTTGTTATCTGAGACATGCTTCGATGACCTACTATTCACAATTTTATAACACGTATCAATTACATTCGAAACGATGCAATTTGCAGTTAATATTACATTTTTATCAGTAATCCCAGCACTATACTTTGATCGTATATTTTCTGGTACTAACTGGTCATTCAGATTTGGAACACTAATTTCTTGTTCTTTCGAATGTACATTTAATTCCTCGGTTTTATTATTATCATCATTATTATCATCATTATTATCTTCATATTCTTCTTTTGAATCAGTTAAATTATTATCATAATCTTCTTGAAGTAAAAGATCTACATCTTTGGAGTAAGACTCATTGCTCTGTCTAGAATCATTTAAATTACCTTCAAATTTAAATGATGGAACCATGTTTGTTAAGGTTTGTAAACTTGGTATTTGAGACAGATTGAAAAATCTTGTCGATTTGTTTTTCAGTGCCAACAAAGACGCTTCTGTTTCACGACTGTAAATTTTATCTTTCTTGTCCTTTATATAATAATGGAATTTGTCTCCGAGCGTCATCATGCTGCTTATACTACCTTGCAACGTGTTTTTAGATTTCATCTGATTAATAGGCGCAGAATCAGAAAAGAAACAGCTAGGATGTTGAAATAATGCAAGTAGCTTTCCTAAATTAGAACTACTTTTTTGCATGTAAGGATCGTGTTTTGTTTGTGAATGTAATTGTATACTCTCGTCATAAGAAGTGTTTGTTAACTTTTCTGCCACATTGTCTTTATCAATAGTTACCGGCTTATCGTCCATTACAGTACAGTTAGAATTTTTATCATTTTTATCACTTTTGTTTATATTTACAGATATTGGTGCATTCTGTGTATCTTCATCGTGATAATTTTTTACGTCCTGTATATTTCCTGTTGCCATAACATTTCCCAATTGTATTGAAGCAGTATTTTGATTACTCAGTACATCATTATATTCTTTATCTTCTAAAGTACTAGAGCTTACTTTGTCATCGGGTTCAGTTTGGAAAGCGGCCTTATCAAGACATTGATCTGTATTTAATTTTTCTATATTAGAACATTCAGATATTAATGACGTATCTGTTTTCTTGACTAAATTTGAATCTAAGCAAGATACATTGTTGGAAGTTTTTTCTAAACATTCAGCATTTTGATCATTACTCGTTTTTGATTCAGATATAAATACATTATCAAAGTCATTCAAATCAACTGATTCGTCTGTACTAATTTTGCAATTTAAATCAATAAGATCAGTATCAGTTGTGGTAACAATAGGTTTAGGTAAAGATACATTTGCTGATTCAACAACTGAAACACGAAATCTAGATGGCCCACTTGCAGAAGAAGTAACATAGGTAGGTGATGATCCAAGGGATGAAAGAACAACTGGTGACGAAGATACTGGGGATTCTGTAGAACATGACGCTTCTGGAACTCGAGACACCACAAACCGACTTCGAGAAGGACTTGGTACTGGACTGACTACGGGTGAAGAGGCTGGACTAGGAATTGGGGAACGAAGACGACCTCCATTAATACGTTTTGGTTCGAGCATTGATCGTCCAGATTCGTCTTTTTGTATCGCAATCATGGATGATAAAGAACATGGCAGTGTTTGACAAGTAAGCGAAATTTTACGGGAGATTGTACTACAGAATCTGCTATGAAATGAACTTTGAAAACCTTCGATATTTTCTTCTAAAGTACGACTTTGCGCGTTTTCTGAACAACTGCTTCGAATTTCGGCTACAAACTGCATATACTGTTGCAAGGTCTGGGTTAGAACCTATTATAAAAAGAAAAAATATGTAGTGTTATTTAATGGACTTATAAGATATAACAACTTATTTACTTACTATATCCATGTTAGGTTCATCGTCCAAATCTATTTTAGTAATACTTTTATTTTTTTTCATAGCAGAACTGAGAGCTTGCATTCCAGTTAATTGAATATTATTATTTCGTAAATCTATCCTCTAAAAATAATAAAAAAGATACCATATTTAATACAAAATGATTTATGATTTTCACGACAATTTAACGTCTTCCATATTTACTTGTAAAATTTGATTTATTTCAATAATCTCTGATAATGTAACAATTCCGTCGCATGTAAGATCAGTTGCCTGTATTCCCAATTGTAGTAAAACACGGTTCTTTTTCAGTGCATCTTTAATAGCAAATAATAATTCATCAGTCAACATGTTTTTACCAATGTTTAATGTTTCCAATGTTTTAGACAATGCCTATATAAACAAATAGCATTAATGTAGCATAGTTACAAATAAATATATAAAAAAATATTATATATATATAATTTATGTATGCATCATTATAACAAAATATAAAATCACATACTATAATGCGTGCGAAGTAAGGAGATGATTTTTTTGTAAGTTGGTTATTCCATAATACTAATATATTTAAACCTTTACCACTCTTGTCTTCATTTATTTGGTTGATGAGACCCTCTAACATATCACGTACACCATCATCTTGGATGATGTTGTTACTAAAAGAAAGATACAATAACATGTAATAAATAATATAAAACATTACCAGATATTAGCTGAAAACGATAAACACTTTTATTAACTTTTCAGTTTTTTTTTCAACTTAACTATTACTTTTTGTTAATACATACCTAACATCAAGTAGTTGTATGTGATTATTTAACCTAAGAAGAGAACCAAGCTGTATTGCATCATATAAATTTAAATTATTGTCAGCTAAATAAAGTTCTCTTATTCCAGTGTTCATTTTTAATGCTGCAACTATTAGAAGAAACATACCATTACTTTGTTAAAAACTTTCTTTATTCATTGGGAATGATTACAAGTACGTCGTTTTTTGTACATCAAAGTAATATTTGCTATTTATAAAATATAATTTAAGGCATAGCAATAGTTTTAATAAAATCTCATATAATTACTAATTATCTATATTTAAGAGTATCATATAAGAGATATAAATTATTCAAACAGTCCACATTTTGATACCTATTTATTATGTGTATACTTTGCATATATGTATAAAAATGTGTATGTAATGATTTGTCTATAATGAATTGTTCATGAATGTATTCTACAATTATTTTAAAATGAAAAACAAAACTATCAAACTGTATCACATGATAAATACCTAGTGTGATGATACATCTCCCTGAAAGCCCACAATTTTCTAATTTAAGCACATGTAGATGGCAGACTAATGGTAATGCACGACTCAAGATATTCATGTATTGTTCATTAAGTATTATATCCTTAGCTTCAAGATGTTCTAAACATTGGGTCTAGACAAATAATAGTTGCATTAATTATATACTGAATAATGAATAAATAAACCTTAAACACACATACTAATATCACTTTTACTTTTGATATTTTCTCAGTCATCCTACATACAATAATCAATGAAACAAGTACAATTAGATCATATTTAAAACTGAAAATTATCTCTTTGTTAACAAAACATGTACTACATATACCTTTCTTATCATATTTGCACATGCTTGCCAGCCATGAATCCCAATGTCCTTATTAGATGAAATATTTAAGTGTTTTGCAGATTCATAATACTCTATCATATCAAATAATATCACAGCACTCTACAATAACAAAAAAACATATGTTATCAAACAATGTTTAAATAATTTTATCAAAAAATTATAAATTGAAGAAAATACCTCATCGTTCAAAGATGTGGCTTCTAAATCAACTTTATTAAATTGAACTCTTTTAAAAATTTCTTCCAATGCTTCTGCATGATTAGGATCCAATTTCTGTCCTTTTAAATTTAGTTCTTCATTTCGTGCTTTAGATATATCTAAAGTCTGTGTAATCAAATGAAATAAAAATACTTATATATCAACAAATATTTCTAATAAGGAAAATATAATAATTTAGTAAAATTATTGCATTAAAATTGTTCTGCTTATTTTACATATTATAAGTGTATAGACATTTGCAATTTATGTTTCAAGAAATATTTATTCACAAGTATAATATCATAAATTAATATCATAAAAAAAATATTTTTACCTCTAGTTGATTTATAACAGTTTCCAGAGCATCTGCATTATGTCTTATACAGGATTCTTTATATGCCACGATTAAATCTTCAAGGTTCACATTTTCAGCTGTAAACAATTAATCAATATATCGTTAGAATATAAAACATCTTAAAAATACTAAGATGTAAATGATTTAGAAAAATGATGCTTTGTGAAAACTGTAAAATATGTATATATTTAATAAAATATAGCTAATGATATGTATTATAAATTTAATTTTGAACTTCAGTTTATATTTATTTTGATAAATATGGTCTTTTTTAACACGTTCACTGCGGTGTTCATTGGTGACTCACCAAGTTTTTCATTTGTAGCAATGACTTGATCATTAATTACTGTCTATATTTCCATTGAATGTTCACCTCACTATCACAAGAAAGCAAGTTGATAAATTTGACCCTGGAAGCAGAGGATCAAGACCAAATCAACTCTTCATTTTTCTCTTGGAAGTGTAGCCAAATATTTACTTGTACTTTATTATGATATGAATCAAATATATACTTTATTGGAAATATAAAATGTGCATTAAAAAATGAATTTTTCTTTCAGTGCCTAAATTTCTTTTCATTTAAAAGTTAGCTTCCACTTATAATTCCACAGAGAACGTATTAATACAACAATGTACATTACATACTTAAATTTTATTGTTCAAACTTGTTAAAGTATTAAAATGCTTCCACATATTATAAATTTGCCATTTAAAAAAATATATTTAACTCTCATTATATTGGTATATAAACATGAAAAAGAACTGATAAAATATAAACTGGAGAATATAAGAAAGCGTTTACAATATAAAACATAATTCAAAATATTTTTTTTTTAATAGAGGAGTAGAATTAAAAAAATATATTTTAAGAACAACTTACAGGTTAATTATATACAGTACATACTTTAATATTGCATCAAACTTATAATTAGTATATGGTTCGCATTGTGAAATGTTCTGTATTTGGCATGACCTATAAAAAACCTAATAGCTTAGTAATACATTATCCACTATACAAGTAAATAATTATCAAAATTATATTGATAAATTATAGAAATAATTGTAATAACTATATTCCAGGTAATAATAACCCGTTTAAAATAAATTTACAAAAGTTATTTTATTAATTCTCATTTAAACTACACAGTAATTATAAAATTAAAACTAAATGTAAAAGTGAACATTAAATGTATTACATAAAAGTAATTAGTTTTATAAAATATAATATGTGTTAAACCTTATGTAAATGTATTTACAATATTATTACATTCTGTATACTAAAGATAATAGACATTTTTTAATTAAAATAATTATGTAATCTAGATTATTTCTAAAAAAATACAAACAAACAAATGTCACATACATAGATTTATTTATATACTAGAAGACTAGATTCTTCTTTTACTTCTTCTCCTTCTTCTTCCTCCAGATACATTTTTTCATGTACAAACTTTCATCAGAAAGATTTGTTTATAACTAACAATTACAAATTTTTATTTTCTATACTACTATATCCTTATTTTTACTAATACTTTAGAGTACAATCTATACTATAAACAATGTTTTTACAACACATAATCATTAGACATGGCTGCAGAAACAGAAAATATTATGGGACAAATAAATAAAACTCCTCCCAAAGGCTTTGATAAATAAGCATAATGTAGGAGATTTATTCTTAAGAATCATTCCATAATTTTTCCTATTTCTACTGTCCTATCCAGGATTATATAGCAACATTTCACTGCAAAGAATAAGCATATGCACAATTTTAATTGATAACTTAATATATATCGTTACAAGGTATTAAGTAGGTAGAAAATGATTATACTTAACATGAATTTTAAATTTAGTTAATTATTTACCCCATAGTAGATAACAATGTAACTTCAACAAAAATTATAAGAATTATAGCAAATTTGTATTTCTTACAATAATCTTGAAACTAATGCAAACTTTCTCAAATGTACTAAAAGCACAATTTTAACTTTTAAGGGGAATCAACCCTATACAATGAAACTCCACTTATCTACAATTTATTTATCTGAATTATGGTCAAGAGTCAAATTGAATTAGATGCACTTGAACTACTATTATACAAACCACCAAATATTAATAGCAAAAGTTACTGAACTCTTATTATCTGAGCATCCAGTAATACAAACTGTATTGTCCCTCGACCAGTTAAGATAAATGGAGTTTTACCATAGTTCAGCTTAGTTGCTATAACTCTCCAGACATACCCTACATCTAACCACATCAGAAGTGGCATTTCCCTTTAAATCATCAACATTCGTTAACTGTTACCTGAAGATAAAATATTAATCCTTAAAAGTTGATGATAAAAATGTTATACTTCATCATTGCTGAGACAGGTAAGCGAATAAACTGTGATTGTAATGAGAAATGAGTGAAAAAAACTTATGCAAGACGAAGGAGATTATTCTCACCGAGTTTCCATGGATTGGCCGGTTCCAAATATCCCGTAACCAAGAGATTGTCATTTGTTGGAAAACTCACACGCCGCGGTAACTTTCTTTTGCTCAATGCCAAAGAACTCCGTAATTTTTTCCCATCAATTAATATATAAGGGGAGAGTGGAACGTTGCCTGTACCGAATCGTGATCTTCTGGTAGTATGTGATATCGTTCTTGGAGGAAGTTTCTCAGGATCGACCTCGTCTTTCAAGGTCGTAAGCGAATTCTCGCAGATCTGGCCTGCCGAATCCGCTTCTCCACTCATATTCAACAAATTTCGAACATATTTTATTAATTGAAATTTACTTCACGTACGCACGCATATGCATGCACACACACACACACAGCACACAATATGTCAACGCGACTGTTCGAACAATCGTTAAACGCGCGTACCGAAGCAAACACGAGTTACTCGTATATTACGTCCGCCATCTTCATTACTGATCAACAAGTCGACAACTGTGGAACACATAATGCAACTAGAAAAATTTTCATATACTTTGACATATAATTAATTATTCTATTTTCTTATCAATTTCTTATATTATGTAATATATAAGTAACATAATTAAAAGTTATTAATTGTAAAAGAATTATAAAAATGAACCAATTAAAACTGTCTGCAAACTATGAATGAAAACGCGTCATTCGACGCTACGGTTCTCTCGTGAAATAAAGTATAGTTGAAAATTATCGGTTATATAGAAAATATATACAAGAATATACTATTAAGAACTACGTACTATATTCTTATAAGTGTATATAATACACTTCTTTCATTTTGACAGACGAAAATTCCTTATACGGCTAAACTGAAAGCGCACCAGTAAGAATAATTTTGTTAAGAGAGAATTAATGATTTCATTGATGTACGGAATAATAACAACTAATCCAAAACGAGTTTATTTATCTTTTATTGATAATAAAGAATAAAATTATTTATTTAAGGTTTGTATGATATAATCTGTATATTTATCATAATTGTTATTTTAATAGAAAATGGAGAAAGTTTTGCAACAAACGGTAATAGAAGCAACACATTGTGTCGAGAAACAATTGGATGCTGAAATAGAAAAATTGGATAATTTAGATATCAGTGATATCGAAAAATTACGCGAACAACGTTTGAAGAAATTAAAATTACTTCAACAACAGAAACAAAACTGGCTGTCTTTGGTAATATTTTTATCAATATGATTTAATTATACAAAATTGTCAGTTGTATAATAACATATCATTTTAGGGTCATGGGGAATATACAGAACTGCAGAATGAAAAAGAATTTTTTGAAGTATCGAAAAAGTCTGAAAATATTGTTTGTTTATTTTATAAAGATGATTCACCAAGATGTAAAATAGTAGATCATCATTTTAAGATTCTTGCAAAAAAGCATATAGAAGCAAAATTTTGTAAATTGAATGTAATGCAATGTCCATTTTTAACTGGTAAGCCAATGAAGTGTAATTAATGTAATAATTTAAAAGTCCTAAATAGTAATCTAAATTTTGCATTTTCAGAACGCCTAAAGATTAAAATTATTCCTACAATAGCTATTATTGTAAATGGGAAAACTAAAGATTATATTGTGGGATTCACTGATTTAGGAAATTGTGATGATTTTTCAACAGAAACATTGGAATATAGAATTTCACTAGCAGGTGCAATTACATATGAAGACAATCATCCTTCAGAACATAACAAAAAACAATGGTTATCATATGCTCCAAAATCTAAAACCATTAAAGGACCTGCTTCAAACTCAGATGATTCTGATGATGACTAATGAATCAGAAAAATTCACAGTATTGCTTTCTGTACTTGTTAAATTATTCTGTGTTGTTCATAATCTGCATTTTTAATTGTGTAAGAATTAAATAATGAAAATTTATAGTCATCAAATGAATAATGGTAAACAATTTACCAATGATATTGTAAAATTACTGTATTTCACATTTTGTTGTATACTTTTAGTATTTTATAAATTGCTATAAAAACTATTGAAGTATTCTAAATTTCATTATATTCCTTGTAAGTAAAATATAAAAAATCATAAATATTTTATTTCTTTATAAAAAGCTATAAAGAATTAGATGCTTAATAATGTTTATATGCAAATAATTTAGAAGAGAAATGTATTATGACTACCTCCTTCTTTGTTTTATTCTCTAATTTATTTTTTGCTTATTATCAAATATTATAGCAATGAAAATATTCCTCATAAATTACTTAATTTTCTCAAAGTATTGAAATTAAAAAAATTATTTTTATATGGATTATGTACAAATAAAAATATTTCTATGTGCTGTAAATAGTCTTATTGAAATTCTATATATATGCGAATGAAAACATACTTAGTATTTTTTTTCTGTTTATTTATATTTTTTTATGGAAACATTGATACAAGCATAGTAAGTAATTGTATAAAAATATAGAAAATTCAAGCAAATTAATTTCAAACAGGAACAAATAATATTATATACTTTAATTAAACAATTTATTGTAATATTTTTCTAATGAAACAATATAAGTATATTGTTTTTAAAGTAATTACTATACATTTACAAAATTCTTGAAAAACATTACAAAAGCTATAATTTTCAAAAGTAATAACAGTAAATAAACATGAAAGAATTACAACATAGAATTCATATTTTATTTCAATTTTATACCATAAAAAGTAAAGTATGGACTTCTGGTATCTTTGAAAGTTATTACTTTAAGGTATTTGATTCAAATTCATTTAACTATTTTTTATTCAATTTTAATTTCATTATCTCTACATACATACAACCATTCATGAAAGAATAAATAATTTACCACATCATCTTTAATTTTATGGTAAATTGTAATGTATTTCACATTAACATGAGATTTCAATGGTAAATTGAATTTAAAGCAGACTCTACAACTATGACTATAGTTTAATTACGATTGCTTTAAATGCATTACTTATGTACACTTATAACTTTTTATATTTATATACAAGAAATCCATGTTTTAAACTTCATAATAGGTTAAATAGAGGTTGAAGTGGAGAAATATTCTATCTCTTACACCTGTACAGTTCTTAACAACTAATTTTTAGCATTAACACTATGCAATATATCACAGAGATAATTTTGCACACCTTGTTAGCTTCTATATATATACATATTAAAATGGAAGTTATATTTATACGATTACTGTGCAATAAGTGTAATATTTCAATATTACTGAAGAAAACGAAGAAAAAAAGATAGAAGAAAATAAATGAAAGTAATACTGTATTCACAAAAACTATAAGAATGATATAAATTACCTTATAATGCCCCTGTTCATGAATTACTTCAAATACTTCACTTTTTAATTATTTTCTTGTGATATCACATTAACAAATATATTATGTAATATTTAGAAATTCTTTTTACATAAAAATTTAAATGTAAGAAACACATGTGTAATCGTTATTATAAAAAATATAAATATTTACTTATATAAAATATAAAAATATATATTCTAAAACACAAATAACATAGCAATTCGACTTTATTTGAATTACATGTTCAATGTGTGTTTTATTACATATTTGTTATTCTTCAAAGAAATGAAATGCTAAAATATGTAAAAAAATGCAATTACATGGTTTAATATAATTTAATATAAAATAACTCTGTTCGTGTTTTCAATTTTCAATCTCACGATTGCATATTTTTCTTCATAAATATGAACTTATTACACGCAGTATTTAAACACATTTGCGAATTACATTGGCAAATTGAAAGAAAAATAACGTAAAATCGCATTATACAGTGAATATAAAGCAAAATATTTCTTGCTTTTTTTTGTGTGTATATATATATATATATATATAAAATTATACTGTATTATTTGATTTATCACTACATTATTAAGTAAATAACGTAATTACATATAAAGATGATTTTTAAATACATGGTACTAAATAGAACATAATTACACTTTGTACACCCGTCTTTTACGGTTTGTTTTTTAGTTAAAATATATGAAGGATGAAGTTTCGCTTCAATATTATTCATCTTGACAACTTACTTTAAATTATAAATTGAAAAATACAGTAGATATATCATTCATTGTACTATAGTATTTTATATCGTTTCTCATATGAATATAGCCTGAAAGCCGTGAAATTACTTATGTAATAAAAATTATTTTATTAAGGAAATATGTACGATCACAACAAAGTTTAAAAAAGACAAATGTAATATAAAACTATTTTCTTAGCATGGTACTTATTTATATTTAGAGTTGAATTAACTAGCCTAATTAGGTTGTATATATAAGAAGATACTGTTAATTTTGTCACTATCAAAAAACTGTATATTCACATAATCAATGTAATCTTACATTTTTCAGAGGAAAATAACATTTAAATACTAAAATAAAATTAAACTTTGATTCTTTTTCTTAAGATCTATGTTGATTAGTAAATGAACAGGTTACGAAAGATTATAATCAATATATTCACATAATTTTAACAACTTATATATTATTTTGTTCTCGATAATGAAAACAAATTTGACCAGCCAGTTTAAGTAATGCGTCAATTTAACTCACTGTACATTTTTTGATGTTTGATAAAGTCATAGAAGTATATGCCTTCTGCCTTTAATACGATTTACCAAGTTGCATATTTTAAGCGCTGGCCCAAGTTTCAGTCCCATGTATTTCATCATCATGTCAGAATTCAAAAGTAATAAAGCTTTTCCGTCAATTTCCTGAAAATAATTATTGTTATTAGTTGGCATACAAGTATTATAATTTTTCTATAATATATATTAACATACATGTTTTCTAAATAAATCTGCATGCTGTCCTAATGCAGGATCGGTAACACCGATGTAATGTATTACATCTTCAATTGTCCATTCTGCTGGTTCTGCAGAAGGTGTACGGTTTGTGGTAGTTTCAGATTGGGTAGTAGAAGTTGCTGCTTCAAGTTCTAATTATAATGATAATACACCTTTTATTGTTAATGGACGACTTATATACTAATTTTTCGTAATAAATATGAAAATGTATTGAAAAACATAAACACACTTTGTGACTCCTAAATATATTTACCTGGAACGGATTTTCGTGGTTGCTTTGCAGCTGTTGGTGATGATAGTGTAGAATTATCCAACTGCATACTATTCTCTATAGTATCTGATTTGGTATTAGCTGTACTAGTATCGGGTTCTGTGGCTGGTTGCGGTGGAGCACTGGAACCAGCAGGACTCACCAATGCAACGGCCGGTTCTCCATTAGTGCCCGCACCAGATACTGCCATTACTGGTAAGATATTACTAGTTCTTGACTTAAATCTATTAGGCCCAGTTGCTGCAAACATTGGAATACATTATCAATTACTTACATGTACAAATTATGAATAAAATCAACTCAGAAAATGTTATACTTACATTTCTGTCTTGGTGGTTGTAATGGATGACCACTTTTAAAGCACCAACCGGCAGGAAAAATATCTCTGGAGTCAAAACGACACCAATAATCAAATGCTCCTCTCCATCCATCAAATGTAATGTGAATCATATCATCTTTAACAGCACCAACAGTCGCCGTACATATAAGTTGCGGATTCTTTTTATCTATGGCTTCTAATTTATGTCCAACTTCAAACAAGTTAGAACGTGGTGTTTTTGGTTCACGTTTGAACACTTTTGCAGGGGCCATTTCTGCACCATTCAATGTTTTCAAAAGAAACATTGGCCAACTAGAAGCATTCATTCGGAAGCCTAATGGAGGTTGCAACATTCCACCAGATTTTTCACAATGTCCAATTGGATGAATTTCATTACTGTCAACCAAACGCCAGAAATCATTTTTGTTGTCTGAGCCATCCAACCTTAATCTTAAACGAGGACCAAGGACACCAACTACAGTTGCAATACATGTTGATGTTAAATTACGAGGGTCTAATGCTTCTAACTTCATACCCATTTTAAACTCGTTAGTTGGTGGAACTTCATGCTAAAATAAAATTTCCTTTAGTTGAAGCTTAATTTTTGTTATTGACTTAATGTACCTGTTTAAAACATTCAATTGGTGCTGCTTGACTGTTTGTTTCTTTCAAATACAGATCCCAATCAAAAGTTTGGTATGTTTCATATTGAAATGGGCCGGTAGAAGTTGACGGAGGATGAGATACATTTGTGTGATTTGTACTTGTAAATGATTGAGTTGTAGATGGAATATTATTTCCACTTATTAATCCGGATGGCGTAAGAGATGGCGCAGGTGATGAATGGTCCCTATTATCTGCAATGAAAGGTCAGTTACTAACAGAACTTTAATATTTTATAATTTTTTGTATTAATGTTTTTACTCATTACTTTGAAGTTTTTATAAGTTACTAACTTTTCTTCATATCCACTTGCCCTTCTCTCTTCTGATGTTTATTCAAACAAAACGAAGAACAAAAGTCTTTTGTGGGTCCATCCTTCTGTTCTAATCTCACTGGTGTGCCTCTGATAACGTTGTCACATTGAACGCAAGCTCCTCGTACATAAGCTTTGCGAAATTCAGACAAACATGTTTCTGAACAAAATTCCTTTTTTCCATGCTGCGTTGGAAGGACATACTTTAAAGGCTGTTTAGTTTCGCCACACCATGTACAGGAATTTTTTGATTTTGGTGGTCTTCCTGGACCTATATTATAAAATTTGTATATTTTGAACTTAATATACTGTAATGAATATAATAATAAACATGTACTCAAACTATTAGTTTATATCTATTACAAAAATTAACAGAAAAAGGCAAAATTGTCTAAAATACAAGGTTACTTTGAACTATAATAACTGTATACCTCGCATTTTGCTTTGTGTAGACGACATAATTCCTCATAGAAAGACGGTAAGTTGATACTAAAACTTACTGCATAACGTTACTAGTATAATTTAATAATTAAGGACATCTTTGCGTCCATTAATAAAATAAATTTTGGAAGCACGGTCAAGTATTACATTGAAAAAGCTTCACTTGTACGTAACTTGTGAATATTGTCCATCTCATGAGAGAGTAATTTTACTAAATGACGAATTTTCGTTCTTTCTGCGCATGTTAATCAAGTTTTTGATCTATACACTCTATAATCTATGATCATGCACATGCGCTCTTATGACAATCTTGGCGCCTAAAGTGTATATCCGATGGACAGAAAGTTTAACGAATTTTTAGTTTTATTAATCACGATATGTTTTAAGCGAAACATTTTTTCTGTATTCATATATTTAAAAAGTGTATTTAAAGGATTGAACAGAATATTTCTTTTATTGTGTTTGTTTCTCACATCATCAAATGATTTTGTTGTTCATTTATTTTGTCCCACCATGTATAAAACCACGAAGACGAAAACAGATTGTAGAAGGGCTTCATATTCGTGATGAGGAATATTCCTAGGCTGCGCGCATTTTAGTTCTCTCAAAGAATAAAATATTCCGTTTATAAATAGCGTAATATTTAATACTCTTTTAAATATTACGATGCAATATATTATAAAATTACTTTTGGAAAATTTTAATAAAAAATGATAAGATTAAGTTCTGTTGGCTTACGCAATCAAACATTTATAACGTATTTATATAAAAAAAGATGTAAATAACAAATTATACCAGTATTTTATATTAATTAATATCATTTCGATATTCCTTCTGATGTAAAATGTTTTTTCTACATCAATTTGCTGTTCATTGTGATGAATAGCTTAAACTTCGCTATCGCTAGAATTTCAGTTCAAGCAAATGGTATCTTACGGATGGAGGTCGTTGCGTCAAATTCCACAAATCATGAATGAATTCTAAGTTCTGTTGTACATTTTCTACAAATTAAGGATATTCTTAACCCTCGTAAGTTTAATATTAATGTCTGAATGATTTTTACAAATTTACATAATCATGCACGATGAAAAATCAGGAATTTATCAAACGTTTTTGTAGTATGTAAACAAACATTGAGTTACGAAATGTTGTCATATAATTTCTGTTTTTATATTTATAAGTTCACCGAAGATAAAGAAAGTTATAATTTCTTTTTATTTCAATTAACAATAAAATAACGAAAATTAATTCAATTTTAGAAAATATAAAACTATTTTGTGTTGAAATAGACTTCTTATTTTAACAAACATAATGTTTCTATTTTTACGTTTATAAATCATTTATAACTTTTATACAAGTAATAATAGCTTTTTTAACAATTTAATTAAATAAATAACTAAACAAGAAGAAGAAACAGGAACTGACACAATGAAATAAAACATATAATAAAAATAACATTAAATTTTTATGAATGATACGTGTATACATATGTGTGTATATATGATAATTATATATTTTGAAATGTTCATTAAAAAACATAATTATATTATGTGTTAAAGTATTCAATAAAACACTTTAAACAATGAATGAAGTAAGTGGAGGAAAACAAGATATACCTAATACTTCTACTTGGGAGACATTGTCTGGGCAATCAGCATCGTTATCTACTATGCATCATCATCATCAATCGTTACAACAAGATGCAAATACAGCAGTTACACAAGTTATAGTTCCTACTCCTGTAAAACTTCAAGCACCTATGTTAAATTCAACGCAAACCGTAGGTGATCATTGTTCACAACTCGGTCATATGCAACAATCAAATTTGATAACGCAGGTAATCAAATGTTTAAGAAATCTGTGAGTCAAACTAGTTTAATGTAATTATAAATTACATCAAAGCATTTTCTTTGTAAAAAATTTTACTTTAATAACTGTAGGGTACACCACCGGGAACGTTTCCAGAAACTGAACTTTCACCTGAACTTCAGCAACAAGGATGGAAAAAGTTTTGGAGCAAACGAGAAAATCGTCCATATTTTTGGAATAAATTAACTGGAGAATCTTTATGGGTAATACCGCCTTTAAAACCTCAGGTACTAAGGTATAAACTTTGGTTGTAAACTGATAGAAACATGAACTTATATGTGTCAACTGTGCTTATATTCAAGTTTGACCCAATTACGGATCCACTTGGTATTTGTGCTGTTCCACCTGTTTCTGGCAATGGAGCTATTCCTCCAGGAGGAACGCTTAAACGTAGAGCTTCGGAAGATAGCGTTGTCCCAGCAGCGAAGAAATTTGTATTAGCGTATGTTTAAATATTTTAAATTATTACATTAAGGTATTTTTAAATGTTTTAATATATTCCATTCTAATATTAGTGGTCCATGGGACTTGGAAATTCCAACAAATGTCATAATATATGAGAGAGCTCCATCAAATTTACCTCATGTTCACCCTGAAACGGAAGCATTACGATGTGGTTTACTTGCAAAATTGAGGCAATGTTATCAAGAATTGTGTCATACTCGTGAATCGATAGATGCTCCTAAGGATTCTTTTAACAGATGGCTAATGGAAAGAAAAGTTATAGATTGTGGCTCAGATCCTCTCTTACCAAGTCAGTGTTTTCCTGAAATTTCCATGTCTATGTACCGCGAAATTATGAACGATATCCCTATTAAATTAGTCCGACCAAAATTTACCGGTGATGCGAGGAAACAATTATCACGATATGCAGAAGCTGCAAAGAAAATGATAGAATCAAGAGCAGCTTCGTCAGAGAGTAGAAAAGTTGTAAAATGGAATGCAGAAGATACTTTTCAGTGGTTAAGACGAACAGTTGGTGCTACGTTTGATGATTTCCAAGATCGTCTTGCACATTTAAAACGGCAGTGTCAACCACACCTTACAGAGACTGTAAAAGCTAGTGTTGAGGGTATCTGCTTAAAAATTTATCACTTATCAACGGAATACGCAAAAAAAGTCAAACATAAAAACAATCAAATTTTAAAAGATAACGGATTAGGAAATGTTATACCCTTAGGGGGACCAGCCAGTACGCAAAGAAAAGTTTGGTGTTACCCCATACAATTTTCTCTTCCAACTTCCCGGCTTCCGCAAGTGGATTATCTTCCTGAACGTGAACAAACAATGTTGCGCTTTCATGGTGATACCGTGTGTATTAATAATATGCATCTTGCAAAATTAGAACACCTATACAGATATAATTGCTTTGATGACAAAAAGTTTGAAATGTTTTTACCTCGCGTTTGGTGTATGTTGAAACGTTATCAGACATATTTTGGAATCAACGAGGGACAAGCAACGCAAATGGCCCTCCCTGTTACAGTCTTTGAATGTCTTCAAAGATCATTTGGTGTGACATTTGAATGTTTTGCGTCTCCGTTAAACTGCTACTTTAGACAATACTGTTCAGCATTCGCTGACACGGATTCTTATTTCGGATCAAGGGGACCTTTCTTGGACTTCAGACCTGTCAGTGGCTCGTTTCAAGCTAATCCACCATATTGCGAAGAACTTATGGAAGCTATGGTTAACCATTTCGAACGTCTTTTAGCTGATTCAGCAGAACCTTTATCTTTTGTGGTATTTTTACCTGAATGGAGAGATCCAGCACCTAATGCTCTCATAAAATTAGAAAGCAGCCATTTTAAAAGAAAACAGGTGGTAGTACCTGCTATGGAACATGAATACAGACATGGATTTCAGCATATACTACCAAAGTATGTTTTAATACTATAATGTACATGCTGAAACAACGTAATTATAAATGCTTTATTTATTTCAGAGGCGAAGTTAATATTAGAGCAGCACATGGAACATTAGTAGTATGGTTACAAAATACAGCTGGTACTGCTCGTTGGGGACCTACAGAGGAAAGAGTTGAAGCATTATTGGAAGCATGGCGTCCAGGAAGAGAAAGAGAACGAGATAGACAAGAACTTCTATCACCACCAAGGCAAACACATCAGCCGATACCTTCCATGCCTATTCCTGTTTTAACAACGCCTACGACTCCAACAGTACCGTTACAAACATTATCCACACATCCTATATAATTATCATTAAACAGTGTCCTGGGGAAAAGCAGCGAAAAGTAAAATAATTCGATACTTTCATTTTAATTTTTCTCTACAATTGGTCTATCGCAGAGAACATTCGATATATAATTTATCAATTCATTAAGTACAGACATGTGGAATACAATGTTTACTAATTCTTACCGGTTTAATTGTGTATACTTCAGGCATTATTTATATATTCATTTGAATCTTAATTCACTTCATCTAAAGAAGATAAATTGGTATACAAATAAGTATGTATGTATACATATATAAATATTATTTAAATAATTATATTTTTATTACGCCGTACAAATTTTATCAAAATTCTGTCTATTAAGAATAGAAAAAAATTATTATTTACTAATTATTAATAACTCTTTTGTGATGTTTATCAGAGAGTGCAATTCAATTCCATTATCTATTTTCACAAAAAAGAAATGTTGAAATATGTAAAATGTGACAATGAAAAATATGTATCTATTATATAGGTATAAAAAACATTATTCGATACTGATATGAAATCACGTTGCGTGGAGTCTAATCTTTGTAATAGTGTTAATTGTTGGTAATTAATAAGAGGACTTTGTAAAACGTGATACCTTAATTGAGGTACTTGCCATGCAAGCAAAAATTGGTACTATTATGAAAAGTTAAGGAAAAAATGCAATAGTTGCGTATGCGTGTCGCATGCCTGTGTGTGTAAATAATGAAGTACATATTATATTTGCTTGTTTTTAAATTAGCGTATTAGTTTGTACGAAAATAATTTAAAGTAATATCTCTTTTTTATACCTTTTATCCATGACAATCTTTTCTTTTAATATGAAGTAACAAAAAACATGCGGAAACACCCTTTTTTCTGAATGTATTATCAGTGCAATATTTTATACAAATCTTTAATAGAACTTATATGAGGAATATGTACAGAAATATATTAACTTCTTTCACAACAAAAATCATTTTTGTTACTTTTTAATGAATTTTTTAGACTTTGAAATGAATGTTTCATAAGTTCATATGTTCACAAAGTACGCTGCAAAAAATAATTTATTGCTCCACTTATGAAATCATTTGCAATAAGTTCAGTAAAATCACTTTTTAAATCAAGCGTATCTGAACTGAATAGATTTGTTCAATCCGCATACGCATACAGTCATATCCATGTTATTTAATAGTTACAAAGTAAGATTAAGCACAGAATTTTTGTACAAGGAAAAATATTTCTTTTCTTTTAATACTTCTTTGGTTGCTAATGTACAAGTATAATTTATAAAAATTAAATATAAAACATGTAATATGTTTTTACTATGAATTTTCTTTGAATGTTGAAATTGCTGTTACATTTAAAATTACAACTCACATCTTGATAATACATCAAAAGATAATTTATTTATAATTTTACATTAATAACATAAAAAAATATTTTACAGTAAACAAAATACATACGGCATAAGGAAATTATTTATAACTATTTGATAAATACCTTACATATGTTACATTATAATATTATAAATAGTTTTATTATTTTTGTTTATAAATAATACATATATATATGTATAACATGTACATGTAACATATCTTATACATTTTGTATATTTTTATTAATAATAAATTGTACATAACTGTACATACATCATACATATACATATATAAGGCACTTGTGCATATATAATTTGTAAGATGTAAGACAATATAGAAGAATTTACAAGCACTTATTATTTTAATACTTACAACTCCCACGAAGATGATAAAATAACGTATATATAGATATACTGTACAATTGTTAGGTACTGTACAAATAAGCAAATAAAATTTTGCATTTTATAAAAGCAATTTGCTATTATTAAAATAGGACAATGTTGCTTTTTTATATATTTGTAAATATTAAAGTACGTTAAGATGTGAAGTGAGAAATTTAAACCAGGACCATTTTCACAAGGAGAATGTTTTAAAGAAAATTTGTTTTATATAAAAAAATAAATGATGGTATTTACCATAGTGTTCCAGTCTTAGGCTTAAATAATTTTCAACATTGAAAATCAGAAATATACGCACCATAATTTATAATTAATAATTTTTCCTTTATTGTTTGATCACAATTTTTTATGTTATTTGTTTCAAGTGTACTGAAATGAGATTTAATTTTACATGAATATAATTTTTGTCGTAGAAAACTATTTAAATGCATAATAAAAATACAATAAAATTTATTTTTCTTTACAGTACATTATGTACAGTATTTACAATATACAATCTTATAAATGTTAAACATATATACATATAATAATTTATAACTATTATATTAACTTAGATATCACAAAATAGAATTTATTATTCATAATAAGAAAAAGTATGTTAATCACTAAAGCTATAAGAGAATAAACAATGTTGTATTATATTATATCATTATTAATGTTATATTAATAATGTTATTGTATGAATAAAATAGTATATTATATATTATCTTCTTATAAATTACTTGCAATTTAAATTTAACAACAAAATTTATTCATTCTGTTTTCCTCTTACTCTACACTTGCAGTAAGATAAATATAATCTTTCTTTAAATTATATTACAAAAATTTAATACTCTACATTATTTACATATTATATACTATTTACATAAAAAATAGAAATATTTTTGGTCATTTATTTTAATTTAGCTATAATTTTTCCATCACACTGAAACTTTTTCGACATCATAATGAGATTGTAAAACTAATAAAATTTTGTTTAACAGTTTATGACCTTGATTCTTTTCACAAATTAAATGATAAATAGATTTCTCTTCCATATCTCTGATAAAATCTATCAATACTAATTTTATCGAATGAAGATCAAATATACAATGATTAGATCCAAACTTATATTTGTTAAAGCTTATTACTTCCTCTTTTTGTGAAAACATGTTTAATCGTGTTTGAGCTATAAATTTTAAGAAATCAAAAAATAGAAAATAGTCCATTCCATATGTTGATTTTAATATTAGTTGACATTGTTCTGCCCAATCATTCATATCTTTGCAATCATTAACTTCTTTCATTACTGAAGACAATTCTTTTTTCAAACCATGCCACACATTCATAATATTACATCCATTAATCCAGTTATGATTAATAGAAATAGTATCTTCCTATAAAAAAAATATTATAAGGGAAATTATATACAATGTAAATTTCATTTTGAAAACATCTAAGTATACTTACTATGTTCCATACTTGATGATGCCACCCAGATGGTACAAACATAATTTCACCTTCTGTTTGAATCACATCAATATACTTTAATGCCCGTTTATCATAGGCTTTATATTTTGAGTAATCATTAAGCTCTTCAGAAGTTGCATCATATATTAATTCTCCATGAATATCTCTTAGAAAATCTTCTTGACCTGGAGGAAACAGTAACCAACGTTTCTTTCCAACTATGTTTGCAGACCAACTATAAGATCCAAATACATCTGCATGCAATGGTGTCCTAAAGATCATAAATTTCCTTTTCTTATACAATTTTCAAAGATAAAAAATTCAATACTTAAAAATTATACAAATATTCATTTACCATGTCCCTTTTGGTCCCATGTACACAAATCTATAATCATCATTTAATTCAGGATTAGCAATATAATATTCATTCAGCCAATCAGATGCAAAGTATTGAGGGACATTATACATTGGAGCATTAGGGAATAATTTTGGACAATGCCAATCTTTTAAATACAAAAGTGGCATAGAATCTGAATAATTACTTTTTGCATATTCTATCCAATAATTTAAGTAATCTTTCATTTGCATATCATCTTTCGATTGAGAATTATAATATTTTTTATTGCAATCTGCAACTGGTACCACGCAATTTCCTATAAATAAATAATATAAGTGAATATAATATAAACTATATTATCAATACATACAATCAAATATATATACGTTTATAATTAATTTACCAAACAATATATCAAGAACATCAAAGTCCGGTGCGTTATCCAAGTTCCACTGTCTTTTACATGACCAATTTTCTGTTATGCTTGATTTAAAGATACATGGTTTATTCGGGATTAAATATTTTGTAAAGAATTCATCGTATGTTACCGAAGGGTCGATGTAATCTACCCAGTCAATTATGGCGGTATTTTTCTCGGTACATAACCTATTATTCTGAATTTCAAGTTCGTGAAACATCGCGCGCTTTCACTTTTTTCACTAAAACATAATAACTGAACTTCATTACATTTTTATACCTACGCAGCTACTCATCGAAACATCGAAATCAATAGTGATGTATAGCTGTTTTTAAAAGCTTGCGACATTTCTTTTAAGTAGATAACAATGCCATAACTAATTTAAAATCACCTTGAAATTTCATTAACTGGTGCGCTTGCGTATCTATTTTGCATAATATATTTCTAATCATATTATCACTTCTTAGGATATACATATTATTTTTATTGTAAGTCATCCACTGAAAGTTATCATCATTTATCAGTATTTCTTCACTTGTGTGAGATCCTTGGCAATAGTATAGTCGTTAGTCCCGTTAGTGTTGAGCAAACGGAGCATGTGCCCTGAGCTCTATGTTTAGAAGCTTTTGAATTTCATAAAAATTGGCTATAATAATCTAAATATCAAAATTTGTATCAATATAGAGCATGAGATCTGATGACGCTGTAAAACTAAATCATACATACATGATCATTTAACGCGTGGCAACATAACTCGTGATGATCGCTTGGTCATTTGTACTGAACATGACAATAATTTAGTACAATGTTAATGCGATATTTTTACATGAAAGTCAAAATTGGGATAATACTTTATAAAATTGATTGCAAAATTGTATGTATCTGATTTTACAAAATAAATTCTTAAAATCCCTAGCTTTTGACCAATGATATTGAATATGACTATAATGAAAAGTTCCAGTCTTCATAGAGAATACATAAAAAGTTTTTAACAAAACACCAATGAAATTATGTTTACGCAAAGCTGCTCAAAAACTTGAAGTCAAACATCTTTCATGTATACATGTATGATATAGTTCATGCATGAATATGCAATATCAAAACAAGAGTCTGAGGGCGGCGTGCAAGAAAACATCTAAAAAAAATTAAAATAATTACATTAAATGTATAGTAAGGATGAGAATGGCGTACAACAAGGACAAATCGTATTATAGCTCGTGTATACGAGCAGAAATGAAATTTGACTGACCGATGATTTTAACAATAATTCAACCGGCACAAAGCGTGCTTGAAGGCGTTGTCATTGTAATAGACATTTATCGAGTTATTAGTTGCAATAAATTTACAAAGTGGTTTTTGAAATTTTTACATACAATTTTTATGTTGAAATTTATTCATTTTTGTTGATTATACATGGTGCGTTTAAGCATCAATGTAGATGAAAAAGAATGTACATTAACATTGCTGCTAGCTTTATCAGCTGATTGTCACCTAAAAGCAACATGTGAAGTATGTGTTGTGAGGAACTTTAAACTAAATCATCTATACAATCACCGTGATATTAACTATTGTAGTTTGATTTATATTTAATAAACTTTCATTAGAGTAAAAGCAATAGAGACATCAACGAGTCTCTTACAAGAATGGGAAATAAAAGTAGTTGCTGTGTTAATTCCAGTCCACAAGTTGGACGTAAAGAATTAGGATCTGAAGGAATTACGCGTGGTCTTGAGGAACATCTACCGGAAGGTGGAATTAGCGTTAATAATTTACAACATATTAGTGAACGCGAACCAGAAGACTGGGATTCAGATCCATCATTACACCCTTGTGCTGGTACTATTTTTATGGAACGGTCTAAACAAGCTATCGAAAGTAGGTATATCTGGTATTAGTCAATTTGTTATTTATGATTTATGTTATATGATATAAGCATCTCATATATTTAAAAATCTGCATGATCAGTTTTATTATCATTATTAACTTGATATATCTTTTAGATGGCATGGTAAGAAAAAAGAGTCAGCACCAAATTGCAGATGTAAGGTCTTTAAAAAAGAGTAGCAGTTGCAGTACAATATATTTAGATGACAGTACTGTTTCACAACCAAATCTCAAAAATACTGTGAAATGTGTTGCCTTAGCTGTTTATTACCATATTAAAAATAGAACTTCACAGAGACAAATTGATATATTTGATGAAAAGCTTCATCCTTTAACGGTGAATTAATTATGAGCATGTTATATTCATTTTTATTCAAGCATATATATTCATTTATGGTTTCTTTACTTGTAGAGGGAAGGTGTTACAGAAGATTATGATAAGCAAAATCCAGAACACAAACAAATTTATAAATTTGTAAAGACCTTATTCAATGCTGCTCAACTTACAGCTGAATGTGCCATCATAACGTTAGTTTATTTAGAACGTTTACTTACTTATGCGGAAATAGATATAACACCAGCCAATTGGAAACGAATTGTACTTGGAGCTATTTTACTAGCATCAAAAGTTTGGGATGATCAGGCAGTGTGGAATGTGGATTATTGCCAAATTCTTAAAGATATTACAGTAGAAGATATGTAAGTTTATTTATCTACTTTTTATAAGAGTTAAATATACATAAAAGTACTTTTATTAAATACTTTATATTTAATATTTGATTAGGAATGAATTAGAAAGGCAGTTTTTGGAAATGCTACAATTCAATATAAATGTTCCTTCAAGCGTGTATGCTAAATATTATTTTGATCTCCGCACACTTGCAGAAGCAAATGAATTAACATTCCCTAGTGAACCACTCAGCAAAGAGAAAGCTCAAAAGTTGGAAGCTATGTCCAGAGTTTACGAAGATAAAGTTACTGCTGAAGCTTTACGTACCGGTTTTAAAAAATGGTCAAGTTTAGATAACATATGCATAGGCGGACCTAGACGTAGTATTGCCATTCTATCCTAAATATTGGATATAAGTGGATATATTACTTATGTCCATGCCTTCTTAATCAAGGTACGTGAACAAGACAAGTTTTGTTGTCCTACTCTAGTATCGATGACTTTAAAAATTTCACAAGCATATCATTTTTACCGTTCGGTAATTTTTATGTTCTTTTATTTGAATATTTTAATGCAATACAAGTTTCATAAACATTATTTAACAAGTTTCTGAAGTTTTTAATTTTGTTTGATTAACTCTTATGATTCCAGTCTTTTTCTACAATTCTAATAATAAAATATTGTAGCATGTGAATTATTAATATTTGTTTTTAGAAGAAATCAAGAAATCTGTATAAATTAATTTCCACTTAAATCTGTTTTTTATCTCAATAGCTTATCAAACTACTTCCTACAATTTCGCGAAAAATTAATTTTTGATCAGGGACCTTTTAATGCATTAACATAAAATATTACATAGGTAAAGTTAATAATAAAACTTTTTACTACTAACAATGTCAGTGCTTCTTTTATTAAATGAAACAAATTGTGATATATATAAGTTATTTTTTATCTAAAATAGTTTACATATTAACTAAATGATTTAATAGATAAGCTTATAGCAAATTTACTAGTAACTATATAGAAAATTATAAAAATATTATGCATTGTAAGATTTAGTTTGAATTTAATCTTATTAAATTCATTTGTGCATAAATTTGATGCATTTTAACAAATTTATTATATATAGTTTAAATAAATATATTTAAAAAATTTGTAAATTAAAGTTCATATATTTTGTATTTGAATACGGATCTTTTAATTTTGTGTTCATATTTGCTTTAAATTAAACAAAAGTATTCTTATTAAATTATCATAATCACAATATACATCTTTTGAAAGTTTTGACAATGTGAATTGTAATTATCATTATTTTTATATTATACCAATATAAATTTCTTTATCATTTATCCAGTTGTCAATTACATGCGCAGATAAAATAACTTTTTAAACACAACTAATTATTTGTAAGCATAATTCATTATATGCATCCTGTGTGATCAAAATCGTCAATATTTAAAACATTGTGCAAAACTACACAATTCTGATTAATTATTACAAGTAATTATTGTAGATAATTAAACAGAATTATAAGAAGTATACATGGCTATACTGTTTATTAGTTTCAACGTATAACACATTTGCATTTATTACGTATTTGATTAAAGTATTTTTATTTAAATAAACATATTTAGGCATAAAAGTAATCTTGTAATATTCGTAAACTAATACATGCCTTAAAAGGATAGTATAATTCTTCATGAACATGCCAATCCATTTATGTGTTAATATTTTCATACACTTAATTATTGACAGGTAAAGATTTTAAAACCTGTTTTTCAACTCATTTAATTATTTTTATGTATATTATATTAATAGAATGTCATTGTAGAATGGCATGCAAAGTATTATTTATTGTATGTATAAGTAAAATTTTATCAGTGTTTCACAATTTTTGTTTCTTGATTTACTTACATTAATATCAAATCTAACAATGGTGTACATTTCTGTACATACAGGATTTTGATCATTCAGTTACATATATGATTATTAAATATTAATATATGAAAATATTCTTATATTAATTTGTAATTAATAAAAAGGGTCATAATTTGTAACGATTACAATATTTTAATAAAACTATTAGCAAAGCAGCTTGTTTATTGTAAATATAAAATTATATGCTTAAGTACAATTTATTATAGAATATATTATTTGCAATTTCAATAAATTTGAAATACTTCAAGTAATAAAACGTAAATCATTTTTAGTTGATTAATAATAAATTTTTCTCTTATAAAGTAATACAATTTGTAATATTAATTTTAAACCGTTTAAAATAAAAAAGAAACAAGTTTCTACAAAAATTAATGCATTTTAATATAAGATTTTTAATTTACTGTTTTAAAGAATAAATGCTTATATAACTTGTAGAATTTTTATTGCATCATTAGTATTCCTTTATTAACATTGCAATGGAGTTTTACCAAATTGGTTCAATCGAACAAAAGAAATATTTATTGTATACTGAAAAGAAGTCCAAATTTTTTAAAAGACTATCATGCTTTAAGAGTAACAATTAGATATTGGTATAAAATTTAATAGTGCCAAAATGTAATAGTATATCTATGTAATTTTAAATGGCATTAATAGCATAAGCAGATAATAATATTAATGTATTTACATTTTTTAGCTAGGTGTTTTAGTTTTTATACAGAATGCAGATATATGTATTTTTTATCATAACAAAAAGTCAATTTTATACATTGTTAGAAAATTATGTAACATGACACAGAAATCAGATGAAGAAAAATAAAATGTAAATAAATTGATACATTAATATACTAAAGTTTGTTCATTTTAATACTGATTTCTTAATGAATTAAGATTTATATCATCTTATATAATAGAATTACTACTAGTATAAAATATTTTTAGAGATAAAATTACATTGTAAAGACAATCTTGAAATCTTGTTGCGTCCTACAAAGTATACTATTACTATGCTTGGTCTATGTATCCTTGTAAGTTTATACTTGTTGATGTAATACTGTAATAGTAATTGAAATATTGTTTATTTAATATTTATCATTGAAGTTTATTTTTTCTGACAGCTACATAATGTTATTTTAGATAATTTATGTTTCTTCAAATTGCTATTATTAATGATCATTTTTTGTATAAAGAAATGTTAATTTAATAATACAAATTTTTGTATGAAATAAATTTATGTTGTATTACTACTTTTCAACAAGATCAACATTAGATGTATTTATTATAATAATAATATTTTAAAAAATAATAGTTGCATTTATTAGAAAAGTAATAACAATATTATTGCAGTAGTATATTTTTTTTCCCTCTACACTACATATGTAAAATTGGTATTGCGGCACATGGATGAGCTCGAGGCTTGCAAGCTACCAATTGGTATCCGAATATTATTGAGAATATCCAATAGATTTATTGGATGCAATATCAATATTTACTTATTAAGCTGAAAATGTCAAAACTCATTTATTCATCCAGGAGGCAAATGGGTCCCCCTTCCCATCCTTCGAAGTCAAACGCACTCGTGCGTCTGTGATCCAAGAAGGACGCGCTTATTTTAAAGGAAGATGATTGTACTGTATATAATGAAAACATATATTTACAAGTAAATATGTTTTCAGTTGATGTTTAATTAGTTTTCATACGTATAAGTATTTTATTCTACATGCAAAATGTTAAAACATAATTTTCCCACAGCTATTTCAATTGAACTCAGTCGGTAATGAAACAATTGAAAGCTGGCCATACATATTATAGAATTCAATTAAATTTGTAGTAAAATCGATGTGCATCATACGTAGATTAAATATTAAGTATTAAATAATCTATTTATGATTAAATAAACTGTAGTTTTAGTTGAACTTTTTACGAATAAAATTTTTATTATTTAAAATAGTACATGCAATTTGTAGATATAGAAATATAGAAATGCAGTATGAAGCTTCAGTTATCCAGATTTGATTGACTGATTTTTCATTTAAAAATGTTTAATTTGTACCAAATAAAAGTTATTCAAAATTGAATAATGGCTTATTTCGTCATTTTGTCGCGCAATGGCTTTTTGCCCTAATAGATATGCTCTATTTCTACGTTCTTATGTCTGTGATACAGCGCTGTATTTAAAGGCGGTTTTGTATGTCACCTAACCTGATAAATTCACTGGCCACGTATTAATAACATGGCTATCCGCGACATACATATGGTTCAGGACATGTAATTTGCGATAAAATAGTGATGTGATTTGTTGACAAAAGAAGTAAATTGTAATACCTTTGATTTCATTCAGTCCCGAATTTAATTCAACGAACGATATGGAGGTTTCTTTATAGTTGTCATCGATGTGTTGTTAGCTTTAAATGCTTCGTATTTTAACCTGTAATCTAACTTGCCGGTTAGAACCAATTCAGCAAGTTATGAACTTGATCAGTTCCAAAAAATTGAGCATTACTATACAATAAGAAAGATGATTTCAGGATGGGAAGTATACTTTTTGACGTTATCAACATTGTTGCTTGCTTGTTGCGTACAAAATCTTCAGAGTCTGGAGGTAATATATGCGATAAATGCTGGTGGAGGGTCACACACTGATAGTTATGGAATTCGCTATGCTAGAGACCCTTTAATGGGTAAAGTTGGAACAGCGTCTGATTATGGCAAGCAGCTAATTATTGGACGCGTGAATGCCATTGATCAAATACTGTATCAAACAGAACGTTATCATCATAGCACTTTTGGCTATGATATCCCCATTAATGAAGATGGAGATTACGTTATGATATTGAAGTTTTGTGAAGTTTATTTCAACTCTCCTAATATGAAGGTACGATTTTGTTGCTTTATAAGTAAAATATATTGAAAATATTTTGAATACTCACTTTATTTAAAAATGTATTTTCAGGTGTTCGATGTAGTGTTAAATGGAGACCATACCGTTGTTACTGACTTAGATATTTTTGAAAGAGTTGGTCGTGGTATAGCACACGATGAATATATTCCATTTAAAGTTCAAGCTGGAAAATTAATATACAACGATGAAGAGTCTGATATACTAGCTGGAAAAATCAGAGTGGAATTCATAAAAGTATTACAATCATTTGTATTATTCTTATACAGATCTTTCATTAGTTTTAGGGTTTAAATATATCTAATTAATTAATTACAGGGTTATAGAGATAATCCAAAAATAAATGCCATTGCTGTTGTAAAAGGAAGTATAGAAGGTATTAAGATTACTATATGTTTTAAGGAAAAGAACTTAGACCATATTTTATAACTGATTTCAATTTTTTTCAGACATACCACAATTAGGTCCAATTCCTCAAGAACCAGAAGAGTATCACAATATACAAGAAGACGAAGAAGAATCTACAGTTCGTAGTCGGCACACAAGTGGTCCAAGAACTCCAGATCCTTATTCAATTGATGATTCTTCAGTAATGTTACCAGTCTTTGTAGCTATTGGGGCATTTATTCCTTTATTATTTTGCCTATGTAAACTATAGGCAGCAAAAATTTTGTGCACATAAATGCCTTGTACTTAAGAATAATAGTGTTCTAATCATCTTAGGTCAAATTAGCGCATGAGAAGCTGCCTATGTTGATTCTGTACATAGAAAGAACATTCTTGTTTTTAAGCTACGTCATTGCACTTTATTGAAGCTGTTTATCATTAATTTAATGAAATGAACATATCTATATATATGTTTTTGTACAATGAACTACTAAAATTAAGAACAAAACTAGAGACATAGAAAAGGTGGGGATTTGTGCAGTCATGACTTTTGTTGCGAATTTAATGTGTTCATTCACGAGTTATTTAATTTTTAACAATAGAATCAAGTTAGGAATTAGCGCAAAGGTTTGCACAGATCTTATTCATCTTTTCTTCTACAACTCAATTCCAAGTATTGTACATATGTTGCAAGCACATATTTATTAAGTTTAAGAGAAACTGGTAACTTCATAGAAGAATATATCGGACTTCGATACTAGAGCAACAAAAACCATCAAAATGGTGGGTTTCAAACTTCTTCATTTTAAGTCATAATCATGAAAGGAGTTTTTTGTTAAACTGTACATCGATGTTTGTGTACAAAAGACAAAGAATGATTATGTATGCTATTTTATTTTTCATTGTATAACGTCCAACATCGGTTGCTCTAGTGTTAAGTGTGCTATGTAATTATTTTGCCATACGCACATGTAATAACGTTATAAGTGAATTTTATAATTTAATATCGTAGAAAATGTACGAAATCACTATCTTAATTATGTTTTGAATAATTTTTATGTGAAAAGTTTATTTATCTTTATAATCGGTACGATTGTATTTAGTCAAAAATGGGAACGAATCCAATAGTCCGTCAGATACCAAAGTGATTTCACTCTTTTGCAGATAAGAGCAAATAAAGCTGTTATTATTGTCCTACAATGATTTTCATTAATTCCCATAATGCGACAGTGCATGCATTAATAATATGCGATATTCTCGCATTCATCAAAAGGTACCATAAATCTACTCGGCTACTATTTTCATGTAGACACGAACAGAACAGAAACCATCGGTAAGGTAGCGAACTACGTGAAGATAGTATATTTTTTTTTTCGAGTCGCTAAAAACAGTTTTCATAGATGCTTCCATTCGCAAAAAGAGCTTATTTGCAAAATTTGACATAATTCGAAGCATGACAGTTTTCCTAAGAATAGCCGAAAAAAGAATATTAACTTGTTTATTTGAAGCCTTAAGCGCACCCTACGAATGTACCGATTTATACACACATATATACATCGGTGTAAACTTCTAAAACGCAATCACACATAATCTGACGCAAGACTACAAGAGTAGATCTGATAACGTGAAGGTAATAATACAAATAATTGTCAAGATGAACGGCTTATCGGAAAATGATAGTTCTGATAGTAGCGATGAATTTACAATTGATACTGAGAAAAATAATTCACATTCAAAATTCTTCACCAAAACAAAGTCTAAGTCTAACAGAATTGTATCTGATAGCGACACCGAAAATGAAAGCACCGATGAAGAAGATTTTAACGATGTCAATCAAACAAATAACATTGAACTTTTTACTCAGGTTTTAAAAAATTTAGAATATTCACAAAATCTTGGAATCAACAATGATAATAATGGAAAAGAACAGTCTGAGGACTGTCCTGTGTTGTCAAAGAAAGAAGAAAAAATACAAAACTTGAACACAGAAACACAGGATAATGTGTCTTTCAGTGAAATAAATGAACTTCTTCTTCAGGGTGAAAGCAGTACAAAGTCATCACGGAAGTCGAATTCTTTGAATACTGTAAAAAATGAAGATGTCGAAACTTCTAATGAATATACCATCCCAAAAGATGGTGTTAAAATAACTTTACCTGGTACAAGTCTTCAAATATTCAAGAAAAAAAAAAAGAAAGGAGGCCCAGACTTAAAAGCAATTTTGAGAAAACGAATAAGAGCTAGTGAATTATTGATGGAAAAAGTAGGATTACTCTGTTGGTTAGCCTATGGATTCTTTTTAAATCGCCAGATTAATCAGCCTGAAATAATGTCATCTGTATTGTCTTTAATTTCAGCTTCTAATTATCCAAAAAAAAGAATTGATCTTGTATATTTAGAAAAGTTTACCAAATGGTTTAAGCATATATTTTCATTTGAAACCGTTGAAACCAATGGTAATAAACGTATAAATAAAGAAGTATTATTGAAGATAATACAGGAAAAAAAAATTTCTGATTATAAAGAACTTGTACTATTGTATATTGTTGCATTAAGAGCTCTAGGTTTAAATTGTCGGTTGGTAATATCTCTTTCACCACCACATAGAGCATTATCAACTAATAATCCATTATTTAAACCTGAAAACTCTAAAGGAGAGAGCAAATCAAAAAGTAAATCTAATGTAGCTAAAGAAGGAAATGTATCAAAAAAAGTTAAGAAAGAAAAAAAGGAAGAAGTTGATAGTACAAACATAATTAAAAATAGTCCAGAAGCAAAGAAAAATGCTAATATGGAAGCAAAAAAAAAGGCAGCTGAAATTTTACGTTCCAAGCCACTAAAGAATACAAAGAAGAACAAATCTGTTGATGTCAAAACTGATAGCAAGGCAGCTTCAACATCGAATAATAAGAATAGTGATACAAAAGATGAATCTAAAAATATGGATCAGGAAAAAAGCACAATAAATTTGAGACAATTAAGATCTCGTAAGGTGAATGCTGCTTCTAATGATAATACAACAGCAACAGAAACTGATGGTACAAAATCAAAATATTATATAAAAGAAGAGTCTACTGATTCTGAAGCAGAATTTCAACCTACACCAAAACGTCCAGCAAGTACGAAGAATTCGGATAAGAAAGAAATACCAAAAGCTTCTAAAAGTAATAACAAACGTAATACAAAATTATTGTCTTCTGATAGTGAAACGGATGAAACAAATAAAACAAAGAAAGCACAGGATATTTGGGCTGAAGTATATTTAGAATCAGAGGAAAGTTGGATTTGTGCAAGTGTAATGGATGAAAAGATCCATTGTGTGACAGATATATATGTGAGCAAACTACTATTATATCTTTCATGTATAATTATTTATATGATAATAGTAGTTACGTTTCATTACAGAAAAAAGCAAAAAAGCCTGTATTATACATAGTTGCTTGGAATTCTGAGAGTTTAATAAAAGATGTGACTAGACGTTATTGTCCTCATTGGCTCACAGTTACACGTAAACAACGTATTGATGAGAAATGGTGGCAAGAAACTTTATCCTATTGGAAGGAAAAAGACACTGCTATTTCTAAAGCTGAAGATGAGATGTTGTTACAAAAGTATGTATTTAATTAAACATTTATTGGTGAGAAATTCATATTTAATATTACATGTTTTTTAGGGAATTGGAGCAGCCATTGCCTAAAACAATTGGTGAATGCAAAGGACATCCATTGTATGTAATTGCAAGACATTTACTGAAATTTGAAGCATTATATCCTCCAGACTGTGTACCACTAGGACACACCAACACAGGTGATGCTATTTACTCACGTCATTGTGTGCATACACTTCGTTCAAGAGAAACGTGGTTAAAACAGGCGAGAGTCGTAAAACCTAAACAAGAACCTTACAAGATAGTTAAATCTCGTCCAAAGTATGATAAGGTAATATATTAATTCTATACATTCTTCATTTGCAAACACTTTGTATGTAATCACAATAATTGCATATAGCTTTCGGGAATGAGAATTAAAGATTCAGCATTAGAAATATTTGGTGAATGGCAAACTATGCCATATGAACCACCAGAAGCTAAAGATGGTATTGTTCCACGCAATGAGTATGGAAATGTAGATTTGTTCCAGCAGTCTATGCTTCCAAAAGGCACCGTTCACATAAATCGTAAGTCATCAAAACGTCTGGCAATTTTATTAATTTTTCAACTGTTATTTAATTTACCGAAATCTCACTTAATGCTCAATGATTAGATAAACACTATTAGAAAGATATAATTTATCTTTTGTTATGATCACTGTATTCATAAAAGAACAATACTACAGTTCCAGGTCTAAATCGTATTGCTAAAAAGCTAAATATTGACTGTGCACCAGCAGTGGTGGGTTTCAATTTTGGATGTATGGGCGCGGTACCCGCTATCGAAGGTTACATTGTTTGCTCAGAATTTGAAGATACGCTACGAGAAGCTTGGGAAGCAGAGCAAGTTGAAGCTGCTAAACGAGCAAGAGAGAAACAAGATAAACGAGTATACGGTAACTGGAAGAAGTTAATTCATGGATTACTCATAAGGGAACGACTGGCAATGAAATATGAATTTTCGAAAGAAGATAAATCGGTTACGCCCAATAAACGATCAAAAAGTAAAAAAGCAGATGCGAAGAAACCTAAAATTTCCTAAGTTTCTATGTTTATAGAACGATCTCTATTATATTGGACAGAAAAAATTTTCAGTTCTTAATTTATATGCGAATGAAAGGAAAACGTTGTAAATAATTAAAAAGTGGTTGCAGGACAACTTATACTCTACTCAGTATTACAATTACGCGATTTATTGTAAAATGTACAAAATGTACAATATTGTGATATATATATTTCTAAAATAGATATCTTCTTTGTGTGTTTGTGATGAAGAAAAATGTTAATATATACATTTGAAGGATTTTTAACTTTTTTTGATATTGTTCTAATTAATTTTTTGTAAGTTAGTAAATAACATTTGATATACTTCGTTAAATAGTTTGTATGCATGAGTGTGTGAAAAGGAATTGTGGAATTCTTATTTACTTAATGCATATGAATGAAGCAATTTTTGTAAAGCAATATATACTAATAAATTCTTATGTTTCTATATGTATTGTTTATCTAAAGCAAAGTGTAATCATCAAAAGATCATCTAATCATGTTTGATCTGCGCCTCTTTCCGCCACACACATAAAACCGTGTGTCTATGATATCATCCAACCATATCGATCTTGTATTGACGTTTAAAGATTTAAACTTTGTGTATACAGAAAACTGATGTGTTTACTTTTAAAAAGAGACAGTTCTATGAATTACAAATATATTTTTATTTAACGATCGTATAAAATTATTTAATATAATATGGATCAAGAATATTTTTCTGATATGTACCAATGGTAAATAAATTCAAATAAAACATTAATATTTCTCAAGAAAAAAGTACAGGTTAAGTTGTACACACGATCGATAGAATTTACATTTTAAACACTCTATTAGTAATTAAAATTGTATGGTATTACTTTCAAATGTGTAATTTTTTATTATAATTCATATTTTGCTTGTAGGTTTGAAAAGTGTGGAGTCATATCGAATATAAGAACGCATCTTCGACAGAATTTAATAAATGCGTTGAAAAGCAAAGATTTCACTTTAAAGCCAGGAATTCCCAAGTCTGCAAAACAATATATCTACGATTTACTGATAGCAGAATATTTGTTGAATCACAATTATGCTTATACTTTATCCGTATTTGCCAGTGAAGCACCTTTGTTAATAGATTTTTCTAAAAAGACAGTTCAGTGCCCGGAGGATGATGAGAAATGTAGTACAGAAAAATTGCGGAGTGATTATGTATTGCATGCTTTAGAAACATTAGGTATAAATCCCCATGATCCTAAGGGACAATATGTAATATCACAATATGTTGAAAATGATATGCCGCTTCTTTTATGTATATTAAAATGTATCACAATGTTCTCCTATAACATACATAATGATGTGCCACTAAAAGAGAAGGTACTTCTGTGTAATGAATGCACACAAACTGAATTTTCTTGGCAGTCACATAATGTACATGTAGAGAAATTAACTATGTTGAAGAAAAAAATAATTATGCATAAACAGATAGTTAATCATAAGTTGCGTGAAAGAGAAATGATGTTAAAAGAACAAGCAGTGGTTATTGAACAACAACTTGAAATATTAAATAAAAAGCTGCAACAAGTTCAGGTAATAAGGATCAGTTATATGAATGTTAAGTTGAATTTCAATGAAAATTAAAAATTATTTCAATTTTGACAGGATGTAATGCATTCACTGAGTTTAAAAGAGAAACATATAAAGGAAAAAAAGCAGAATAAAGAGCAGCAAATTTTACAAAAAGAAATGGAATTAACATTGAAAGAAAAATTATTGTTACAAGAAGTAGATAGGTAAATCCATATTTAAATATAATTTATGTATCTTTATATGAATAAGTATTTCATTATAAATTTTGTAGATTGCAGAGAGAACAAGATCTAAAAAAATTACAAGAACAAAAGCAGATACAAACAGAACCTTCAGTAAACAAAGTATCTTATCCTACATTTAAAAATATGGAAGTACAAACAGATGATGCTATAGATGATATTGTACAAAGAGATAAGATCAAAGTTCTTACTAAAGAGAAGGAAGAACTAACAGCCCTTGTACAAGACCAGCAATCAAAGATTGAACAGATAACACAACGAGCTCTTCAGTTATCTCATCAAATAGAAGAAATACGTTTATTAAGACCTACCAACATAGAAGTTCCAATACAAACTGTTAACGCAAATACGATTGTCAGTGAGAGTAGTTCAACGGAAGATATTCTTCAAGATGCAAAGCTGAGACTTAAACGTTTAGAAGAAGAAAGTTTGAAGGCAGATCAGTATTATTATAACTTCATCAATAATTCATCATGACGTTACTTTTATAGTAACTCAATAGCAGTAAAAAATATACATAAATTTTACAGTATAATATTATTTATATTAATTTTTTTATACTAATTTAATTTCCTCAGTTTTCAGAGGAAATCTGATACAGCAATTTTGTAATCAATGAAAAATGAAATGACACAAATACCACGTAAACGGTTTTTATTGCAGTTGCTAGTTTCTATTATAAATTATATAAAATTTGTATTATATGTACAAATCTGAGATTGAATTGAACGTATACCAAAGATTTTTTGTTACCTAGTTTATTTTATAAAATTGGACGTTAATATAATATACAAATTAATCGCTATTTTTTTCTTTATTATTATTCGAATTCTACCTTAATTACATGCAACACCAAACGTAGTATATAAAATGTTAAGTCAAATTTTGTCCATTGTTGTACATCATCTTCGCTTGGGATCCGAACTCCTTCTAGTGCTCGTAGTTAAGGATTATACTTAATTAAGACTATATGATGATATAATGATATAAAAACAATATTTTTGAATGGGTATAAAAAGGATATTGTTTGTCCCGGGTTTCGCGACCCTCCCGTTCATGAGTACGTTCCTTTGTGTAGGGTGACTTTTCCTGAAAATATATTTTTACATAAATCTTTTGAATGCCATGGTTTTCTGCAATTGGCGTTTGGGTACTTGATAGTATCACCTAGTTTTTCTGGTCTTTGCTATTGTCTCCCATTTCGTCTTTTCAATGTACTCGAAGCGGACGTCTTTATCAACTAAGGGGTCAAGGAATAGTGTTAGAAAAATGATTAAAAAGTTAATTTATGGGTAGAATGTTGGGATAAATGCAAACTGTGATGTTACAGGATTTACAAAATGTGTAATATGTCTTTGTAAAATGTGTAATATGTCAAATATTTTCGTCAAAAAGGGACATTTATGCGCGAATGTCTTTTAACATAGATATCAATTTTACACCGGGAGTACAACTAATGACCTACTCATGAAAGTACTGACTCTATCATCAATGACTAAACTATTTTCTTTTAAACATGATACTCCCTATCTTTGCTGGATGAATAAAAGGAAATGCAAATTAAAACAACTAACCTTGTTATAATGATGCTTTTCTCTGTGTTCGGGAATATCGCCGTTTTGATGTGCTCCTTTTGCTAAAAAAATAATCAGTTATTGTTCATAGCGAAATGAAGATTTTAAGGTGGAAGAACAAACAATTACCCCTTTCGTCATCTTTTCTTCTCTTCTGTTCTGTTGTAACTGCGGATTCATCCGCTCTATCCTGTTCAAACACAAGAAGTGTACATACACATTAAATAGATTATAATGATTACATATTTCAAACTTGGGATATAGGTATAAAAACCTCCAAGTTTTTTATTTTTACTATAAATATAAAATGCTTACCCTTTTCCGTCCTAATTTCTTTTCTCTCCGCAGTTCCTTTTGTTCGTCCCTCATTTTACTTTTACTGGAGCGTTCTTTTTTGTCGAGATTACCATCTGTCCGTCTTCCCTCCTGTTAACAGAAATTATCAAGTTAGAACATAGTATTTTAAGAAAAGAAGTGACAGGTCAATAATCCACACCTTTGGTACACTTTCAACTTTTCTTCTTTTGGCATCTGAAATTAAATATCAATATTATAATTTATAAATAGATCAAAGTAGTCTCAACAATTTTTGTAACTTTTTAATGCAAACCTCTGTCTGATCCATCCTGTGTTGGCCCAGAGCTAGCACTACTATTAGATACACTAGAAAGATCACGGTCTAAATTGTCTACTCCACTTCCGTAATAATGTTCTTCCTGCAATTATATATGGATTACAGAATGATGTATTTTTAAACGTTATCTATCGATTTATATAGTACATGCAATTACTTTATAATATTTTCGATCTTTTTTATCCATCGAGTCTTCTTCTTTAATTTCTTCTTTCTTTATATGTTTATCCTTTCCTTCTGAACTTTCTTTGTTCTCTTCCTTTTTCCTAATTTTTTCCGAACTTTCACTATGGTACAGAAACAGCAGACAAATTTAAATTTGTTATTATTAATAAACATTTGTATAATTATTATGTAACTTACTGATGCAATTGACTGGATGCAGTTCGTTTTTCTCGTTGATCTTTATTTTCTTTTTCTATTCTTGTGTCACCATTGGTGATTTCTTTGTTTGATATGCCATCACCAACTTTCTCTGACGTATCATTATTTGGAGTATCTTGTGTCTTTCCAGTCTACATAAAAATGTAAAAATAAACTGCCTGACGCAGTATTTATATTATAAAATGAATCTAATTATATACCTTATCTCCCACATGATGAAAATCTGCTTCACGAATCATGTTTGGTGTCTTAGCTTTTAACTGACCACTGTATGAGGTAGCCAAAACATGTAAATCCTGACGCTGACCACGTTCTTCTTCTCTCACTTTTTCTACTTTTCGTTCAAGAATTTGAGATAACTTAGCCAAAACAGGAAAATGTGGCAATATTTTGATTAATATTATTAAAGAATTTCTTATTTGTACATAGTCCTTGGAGTCCAGACAGACCACAATAGCCTGTAGAAGAAGGAAGTACAATGTTGATATTCCAATCTTTGATTTTTTTTAAAATATATGCACACAATACCTTTGTAATTTTGTAATGCCATTTATGGCACACGTGTCTATAATTTTCAAATCCTACCATGTCGTTTGCTTCAGAAAATTGATTACTAACGCGAAACTTCGTTACGAATCCCGGATAATTACTACATTCCTGAAATAAAATATGGACACGTAACAATTTTTGAAATTAGTTTAAAATACACGAAAAAATATACCTTATCAAATATGGCTTTTTCAGAGTGCCACCTCATCACTGTTTCCAGCATAGCGCACAGAAATCTCCCGTAACGATTTGCTTCGTTTTCAGTGCATGAGGTAACTGAATATGTTATATCACAGAAGAGCTGGAAGATTAAATTTAATTTAATTATTAATTGCGCACACGTTTCATTAATTAATTGTACTTACTCTGTCATAGCAAAGAAGTGTTGAGAAGTTAGCAGTTTTTAGTGAATGTATAGTGTGAACAAATTTGGCGCAGTACATGGCATCTACGGTGGTAAATGTACACCGAGGAAACAGACACAATTGTAGGAACTGTGTTATCGTTTCATTCTTTGCAGATTTTGCGCTTCGAGATAAGAACCATGTATCTTTCTCTTGCCTAATATGACAATGTTAACAACAAAATAAGGTCATGAACTATCTTTTTTCTTGGTGTAAATATATAATTTACCTTAAATATGCAAAAACTTTCTCAACGTGTTCCTCCTGTTTTCTCCTTTCGTCTTGTAATTTCTCAATTAAGGTTGTGTATCTTTCCTGTTCTTTCTTCCCTTTGCTAACATTCTAGAAGAAATGTATAAATTGATCATCACTACTTTGTAAAAATTTCCTATTTCTATAAAGAACTTTCTAACGTACCACATCTTTGGAGTCGGCACTTTGTGCCGCAAATTGTTTCAATTTGTTAATTTCCCTTTGATAACTTTCAACAGGAACATACAAATCATACATGGACAGTGACCAAAATGTTACCAAGAATTGTGGAGAGATATCTTCCCATACTTTTAAAGGATGTAAAGGTCTAACGGACTGAGCAACTGGTGCCATTACAGCTTGTGCAGCTTCTGCGTACTTTGCTTGTTTCATAGCAGTAGACATTTTTTTGTAATTTGGATCAGCTTTACGCAGGGCATCATACTTAATCTGAAAATGGTACACAAGTAGTATTAAGCACATTAGAAATCGCAGAATTTATAAAATTACTTACATTAATAGCGTGCACAAACATTGGTCTTGCAAGAAAAAATGCAACATCAGAATGTATGTGATTGTCTTGGAGCATAGAATGTATAGAAGGAAGTCTTTCCACATATTCATCTACTGTCATTGTAGAACCCAAAAATGTTCCAAATTGTACTAATGTATCTTGGCATTGGTCATACAATTTTCCTACAATTTTATATTAGATTATACTTTCATAGTTCTATCAATGTTATTGTAGAAGAAAAGGATGAATTATAAAAGTATATTTACCAACAAGTTTAAGATGTGACTTATCTGTTTCTCTATATACGACACAATGTTTTTGTTGTGCCATTAAAAGACACAGAGCCACAGCAAGATCATGTTCAGCAAGAGCTTCTTTCAGTCGTTGAGAAGATTTTTTTGTATTACGGACTTGACTAAAGTAACCGGCCTAAAAAATTATTTGTTTACTTCATTGTGAATTATTTGTCGAGTCATTGCTATGATTGAAAGTTACCTCATTTTTCAATAAGTCTCCACCTGCCATGGCATTCAGTTGATCTGAGGTCATTTCTTCGGCAGCTTCAATACCTGCCATTTTTTGTACTATTTCTTTTAGTATTAATAAATCTAAGCTGTAAACAAAAATAAATAAATCGCTAAATTACAGAGTATCAAAACATTTTAGTGTTCATCTCTTGTTATTGATCCTATTGTAATAGGATTTGTACTAAATCCTATTGTCCTTCTTTTAACAATTTTAACAATAATAGTGCAAGTGAACTATTAACATTGTTTCTTAAATGTATGATGTTTATATATTGGCATAGTAAACCAATTAGATTGTTTTGTTTTATACATTTAACATTGTACAAATACAATAAACTTTTTCCACTGTTTTCTTGAAAATTATTATAAAGAATCCTCATTTTATACTTTTTATTGCAGAGATCCATACACGTGACTAGTTTTTATTCCTCTGAATAATATTTTCCAAAACTACAGTTTATAAATATTATCCTGTATTTTACCCATTAACTAAGATTTTAATTATTTTTCTTTCTTTTTTAACTTTGAAATACCTAGAAAGAAAAAGTATAATTCAAAACACTTCATCTTCATCATGCTTTAGTAATATTGCTTAAATAATTATTAAAATCAGCTCTGTAATAAACAGTTTCATTTACCTTGTCCTTCTAAGTTTTCATTTTATTGGTGGCAATATTTTTGGTCATTTTTAAAATATGTGTAAATCATTTGTATTCACATATTTTAGATATTCAATAGTTAGGTATTCTTATGGACGATTTTTCATTAATTAGTCCATTCCTTTATGTTATATTTATACATTCTTTATTACTGTTCCATATTGAACTCTAAATCTCCTGATTACTTTGATCATTACTTTCGTTCAATCTCAGTCCCTTCTTCAAAGTTCCTTTTTGTTTTTTCTCTATCTTTTATTACTGTATCGAGCTCCTTCCACACGTGAAAACATGCAAACATGTTTTTTAAAACTAATTTATATTTAATGACTTTAAAATGCTGAACTCTTGCTTTACTCTTGTTTATATTAATATATAATAGTATATTATGAATTAAATAATTTGAAGGTACAAAAATCTTCTCAAAAATGATATCAATCTTCTTTGAGCTTTGTTGTTTGAATATTACATGAATCAGTAAAGAACAAAAACATTTGCAATATTGTGAGAAAAGATGTGTTTAAAAGAAATGAAGAAAGTACTGTATATTGCCACACATTTGAAACGATCATCGGTAAATTTCCTTTGTAATGAAAAATTTGTAAACTTTATTTATTCAATGTACTAGGTGTTTCCATTTTATCAACTATTACAGCAGAGTGATAGTATATGTATGTTCACTGCAATTAAAAAGTCTTCATAATAAATATATTACAATTTAACTAACTTCTTTCATATATTTGTGAGTATTAAATATTCTGGAATTACAAACAGTGGATCAAATTTGTATTTCATCTCGTTTTTCAATCTCTTCTTTGCCATATTACACCGATATTTAATTAAAGTTATACATATGAATGTGTTTGTAAAGGTATCGAATATGTCACAGTAATGATAATTATCTTCCTTTTAAAAAAAGTATTAATTTACTTTGTACATCTAATATTTGAGAAACAACGCAACAAAAATAAATGAAAAATTCTATAGAATCTGGACGAAGTTATTTGACTTCTAATTAAAAAATACATATTCTTAGATTAAGAAAAATTAGTTTATCTTGTACAATGTACCTTTTTTGTGCTTTAAGTTGATTAGCTACATACTGCAACAAACCCGTAAGTTCGATATTGTATTTTTTGAATATGGCTCCACAAAATGAAGCAAGGGACTGTAACCACAAAGATATACTGGTGCCATCATGTTTAAACCTATCCCTATCAGCACCAGCTAACGCTTCCACAAGACAATAACCAAGTACATCATACGAAATATTTGTCAGGTATTTTAAAGAGTCTACAACAGGTCCTGTAACACATCAAACAATTAGAAATATGAATACTGAAAAATATACCATCTCTCGGAGATTCACGTACCTATAAGATTATCATACAACTGAATTTGTATAAGAACATAATCAAATAATACACCGGGCGAAGAATGAGTCAATTTGCCTATTGACCTTCCTACAGGTTTAATTGTTTCCTTGCTTACTCTCTTCATAATTGATTTAATTTTCTTCTGTGCATCTGCTCTTTTCCGCAGCAAAGCAGCGTGTTGTAAGGGTGTATCATTTTTCCAGCGAGCATACAAACAATACCGATTCTGATATGGGTAGTATTTTAAAATGTTCCACAATTCTTCAGCGACACAACAATTACAATCCATAAAAGACAATGAAGGTAATAACGCTACGTCAAGTATAGTCAATACGTCATAATATAAATTATTATTTTTATCCACTGGTTGCTTATTAGAATCTAATGGGCACTGCTTTATAACTGCGTGACATAATCTCATGATTTTGTACATTAAAACAGGATCATGATGCAAATTTGGACCAAGAACTATGAGCATTGGTAATAATTGATCATGTATGTCTTCGAAGTTTTCTATTGGTTTTGGTGCAAGAGAACTCTTTAGAGGAGGAACTCTTCTGCCTTGTAATTTTGGTGATATGATACAGTGTCTGAAATATATGGTATTATGGTATAAAAATTGAACAGTAATCAAAGATTGCTGTTAACTTACTTGCGATAAACGGGTTCAATAAGAGATTGAATCATTTTACACAATGCTAATGCAATAGGACGCTGATCTGTAAGACTGTGCTCTGGTAATCGAACAAATAAGTTTTGTGCTACCTCCCAAGCTCCTATTTCCAACAATGCTTCACATAATCCGAATTTCTGATTACTCGCATATTTATCCTTTTACATAAAAATAGTGTCAACAAAGTTATTTGAATACCAATATTGATCAGAATGAAATCATACATATGTCTAGATACCTGTAGATTTTCTTTTTCTTCCTGTACTTCTTCCTTATCTTTAGTAGAAATTACGCTTAATTTACGAACATATTCCTTTGCCTGTTTCATTGCTTGTTCATGTTCTTTGATGATAGTTTTATCATCTGGTACTAGCCAGGGCAATATATCATCTAATTTAATAACACCATGTTGCAACATAAGTGCAGTAACTTTTTGTAGTGAGAACGGGGTAGCATTGACCATAGAACAATATTTAAATCCTAAAACTTCACAGAGTACCTGCTGATCACTCATGTAAGAACGAATTAAAGGAATAAAAAATGCATCATCCTGAGGTCGATTTTCAAAAGTTTCTAGTAAAATATCAAGTACTCTGTTAGGGTCAAGATTAAAATATCCTATAAAAAGAACATACATGTAATGTCATATTATGTATCAATCAAAATATATTAAAAACATACCAATAAGAGATTTAACAATTTCTAGTATTGATGCTACTTCATTTTCTGGACGTTCCTGATTCAATTCCACTATAAGCTTAGAGTATCCTTCACTTTCCTCTCTAAATAAATTAAACTTACGTTGTTTGTAACTGTAAGAAGTATACATTTTATATAGATTTTGTTTCAAATACAATTAATAGTTACTAAAAAGGATGTACATACTATAATTTTGTTTTCACTTTGATGAATTTGGTTTGAAAACTCTTATTTTTTAATGTTCCTACATCTTGTAACGTGTCAATTTCTAAACGTTCTTTCAATATCCTATCTGTAAGAAACTATACAAAAAGCATATGACATCAATTAACTCTGTCATTACAAATTTTGTTTACATTATATAAATAGTTCAATCATTTTTGGTATCTTAAAATGATACCTTTTCTGATTCTTTCACAATGTAATAGAAGTTATTCCTTTCTTCGTTAAGTGCTTCTGCATCAATCAGAGTAAATATGTCCACTATTGCAGATGGTATTGCTCCATCGATATTCTGGAAATAGATACATATTCCATGTATGAAACGTGTGTTATTACATTATTTTATTTAATGTAATAACATGTGCAACTGATAAATTATTAATCTTACCATCAGTTCACCTAATGTCTGAACTACATTGTCCCTTTTTATGTTCCCATGGATTCCATTTGTTATTAATTCGTATAATCCTCTTCTCCATTCTAAAAGTAGAAACAATACCACACGAAGATATAAAAAACTACAAATTTATGAAGTACTTGTAACAGGTTGCACAACATTTCAGAACCATGAGACTAACATGTACATTAATTCTAAATAAATAACTGTAACATTAATATTTATGAATATTCTTTATTTAAAAGTGTACACAAAAGATTGATATAATTTAATGCTGCTAATTTATTCATAGAACTGAAAATGTTAACAGAATTGAAAATGCGGAGGCAAAGAACATTTCACGTGAATAAAGTCTGTACTGAAACTCATGCTACAGGGTAAATTCGGGAATTGTTGAGATTTACCTGCAGTGTTGCCTTCCTTAAATTTGTGCTTGATTAACTTGAGGCTGCAAACAGTTGTTAATTGACAATTAACTCTTCAGAAGAGCGAGAAACAGGAGAGATAAGTTGCAACCATCAATTGCACAGAGTATGTAGTATCAATTCAATATTAATCGAACGCACTTCGGACGTTAACGCGTTAACCACTTACAAATCATTTTTTCCATGTTTATCCCATGCTTTCCATATTTCTGAATTCCACATTTTACCAGCCATTTTAATTCCATGAAAAGCTTTTTACGATTAAAAACAATTGTATTAACATCACAGGTTAACAGACTCCATTTTCCACCATTACAAGCGTCCCCGAAGCTATCGTAGCGCGATCTTTCTTATACCATAAATTATATTTATCCTAGTAAGAGAACTTTATTAACAAAAACCATCTTCGATAATAATTATTTATAATAATAAAGACATATGTATTTATATTATAACAACCGAATATGTGTGTTATAGCAAATCATATATCTGTTCCGAATTACTGGATTTCTATACTCCGAATTTTCATATTCATAAATCTGCATACTTAGTTATCCAGTAAAAAATTGTATTAGACGATTAATTATAATTAATAACTTATTTTACAATATTTTATATATATATTTCTGATTTATTTATATAATAAATGAAACGGAATATTTTTTCCCTAACATTACGTAAACCCGATGACTTTAGGAACCCCTAGAACACGGTTCTTTTACATCGGAACCATTAGCAAGAGAGGTAATGTCAGTTTTCAGTAAAATAAAATCCTGAAACATCTGGCTGTTAATATTGAAAGATAAATAACTTTTCATAAAATTCTATTAATTAATTGAAGTAGAATAATATACACTTAATATCATTAATGTTATTACATTCAACTTATTGTATAAGTCAATTGGACATCACCGTCGTTTTGTTTACTGCTTTATCTATAAACATATGATCTAAATTAGAAAAATATAATTTAATATTTTCATACACCAATAAATTAGTTATATCCAATATAGAATTTATGTATTTGTTTTCTGGTTGTCATCTGTAATTAGTTTACAATTTAAATTGTAAGGTTTGTTCATAATTTTTTGGTTATGTCACGTTGTCATACTAAGTCGTGTACTTTGTTTTCAGTACAAAATGGCCAAATCTACAGAAAAGAAGGGAAAAAGTGCTATCAACGAGGTTGTAACTCGTGAATACACTGTAAATCTTCATAAACGCCTTCATGGAGTTGGATTTAAGAAGCGAGCTCCAAGAGCAATAAAGGAAATCCGTAAGTTTGCTGAAAAACAAATGGGAACTCCAGATGTGAGGATTGACACCCGCCTGAACAAGCAGCTTTGGTCCAAGGGAATAAGGTAAATTTTATATTTTCATTGATCAAGAATAATTCAAAATTATTTACAATAAAATAAAAATGTCATATGATTTTAGGAATGTACCATTCAGAGTTCGTGTCCGATTAAGCAGAAGAAGAAATGACGATGAAGATTCAGCTAATAAATTATACACACTTGTTACATATATACCAGTAGCTTCTTTCAAAGGTTTACAAACTGAAAATGTCGATGCAAGTCAGGACTAAATTCTAATCAATAAATAATTTTCATCAAATCCTGTGTTGCAAATTTGTTCAACGTATTACCTATTCAAGTTAACAACTAACGTTTGATCGATAAGTTATTACTTGTTAGAAATTTATTACAATGTTTTTTGTCGAATAGTTTTTGAATAAAAAAAAAATCAATATTGTAAATTGTTTTTGATAATTCTATAAACAATATTGGAACTTCATACACCAAAATCCCTATTATTCGACAAAAAATCATATTTGAATCGTGCAGTGCGGCTAACTTCAGTAGATAATTAGTATTGGCCCCACTGCTATACGCTTCTATTATATGGTCATATATACAGTGGACAAAAATAAATAAATAGGGGCAAAGGAATGATGATGTAAGGTACACATAATCAAGCAACGTCCTGTAAATTACATTCAATTTTCAACAAGTTTCTAGAGCTACCAAGTTCTCAGATCCTTCAACTACATAAGAGTGAAGGAGCTCAACTAAAGAATCTAAAGAAATAGATCTCTGTATATATAGTCTCGGCGTCACAAAAGCTGCAATGCAATTGCGCGTTGCCCTGGTTACCAAACATTCTTAACCAATTAGAGCCAACATGCGCAGAACAAACAAAAACTTGTCGTCTACTGCGTTTGTTCTTCCATTGAACGAATAATAACTGACAGAAGTCAGTATTTACTGTATCTAAAAATGGGAACATTTCTTGCCGTGCTTGGTAAGCATGGCTAGTAGAAAAATGCTATATAATTATCTGCTAACTTCAAGAAAGTTTATTATTCGTTCAGTTTCTGGCAGTACGACAGTGTTACGGTTCGAATAGTGTACGTTGTGAAAAAAAAGCAGTGAGTGTAAGTAACGTCAAGTAATCGTACGAATGAACTTTGGAAATACTGTTTTTAGATTAATTAGCTCATTCTGTACCGAAATAACAAGTTTTATCTTTGTTTATGATTCTGCTAACGCAAGTTCTTGATCTTTTATTAAAGCGCTGAGCAAAGGCTTTTCATATCGCTTTATTTACATGACCTGAAGCTACATTTTGTATTCTTCTTTTAATCTGTTATATTGCATTTTATCAAAACGTAACGTTTTTTTATTTCAATGCTCCAGGTGTTTGCGCAGTTACGGCGTCGCGTCTCACCGAGGTTACATTTGCATTCAATAGCGTTTCAGTTAATAAAATTGAGGTTCCATTGTTTATTGTAGCATGGGAGAAGCGGTTGGCATGTGCGTGATTCTTTCGCATCATTAAGAACGGTCTCACACACAACAAGCTTGAGTGTTGCAATTATTTCCTTCAATTAATCTGATTTAGTTTGTCAATGATCGATCATGCGATTAATCCGCTCAAACAGATTCTATAATTAATTCTTACATAGTGAATGGAATTTCACCGACTAACAGAAAATCAGGAAGTTTCGTAATTTTCATGCTTCTATTAAATTATCTTTTTATCAGTCGTGCTATATCATAATACTTAATCCTTTTCTCGGTCGATTTTATATAACCATTACAGAAATCTTATTATATTCAGGGAAAAAGAATTATGTCAGTATAATTTTTATTTTATCCAGTACATTGATATTGTATAAAAATATTTCATTATTTCTTGTAATACATCTGTATATCATTTTATAAACATTGTTTTAATTGTCTCATTAATTTAATAATTTTAATTTTCTTTTTTTTATTACTTAAATATATTTTTGAAAAATTAGGTAGTTTTATAATGGAAGGAGGTGGTGTACTTACGGCAGAGCGCAGTCCAGCACGTGCGAATCTGCATGTGGCTTTTAGTGAAAAAGGAGAAGTAAAGGAACGCAGAGAGAAATTTCTGACAGCCAAATATGGGTCCCATCAAATGTCCCTTATTCGTAAAAGGCTTGCAGTAGAAATGTGGTTATTTGATGAACTAGAAAAATTATATGAATCAGTTGTAAGTTACAGATGAAATTTTTTTCCAAAGATAAATTTTTTACAGTTTCAAATATCAACATTTAATTTACAGAATGAAAGTGGTAAAAATCGAGAAGTTGAAATTGACATTGATGAACTTCTTGATATGGATAGTGACGAGCATAGACGAAGATTTTTACAAGTATGTATGAGCATATACAAGTAACTGAACATCGGTCAATATGTTAATAACTTCATGAATTATTATTTTGTTTTATCTTATAGGACTTACTGGTTGATACAAAGAAACCACCACATGATATAAATGTAAGTGTGTAGAAACATGTGTCTTGTTACTTGTTGCTTTAATATTCCTTTTCTTACAATTTACTCAAATACTTTGTGACTAATTTATTAATTCAGAACAGTAGAAGGTATTGGTACATTACTATATTATTGGAATTGGTATTGGAAGCATAGTAGAAGGGTTTGATGTAGTGTTTCAGGAATAGCTTTTGTACAAGTTAGTAACTGTAACTAACATGTATTTATATGTTTCTTTCTATGTTTCAGAAATTCATTAATGATTTACTTGAAAAAGCTAAAACACTTTGAAGAACTTTCATGTTCTTTTATGATATTTACGTGTTTGCAAGGACTTTTTTGAAGCATTAACAAATTTGCTCAGATTTGGAACGAGTCAAAGACATATTTCAAGCCTTATCGAGTTGCGCAGACGTGACTCAAATGCCAATTTATCATTACTTGGATTGAACTTAAAACGGGGAAAACATCAAATTATTCTAGCGTATATTATTTCATATTGAAATCGTAAACATTAGTATCTGACTTATCTCAGTACAATGGCTAACTTTGTTAGTTATTTATGTGCGCATCGCATATCAAAGTAATAAACCTCACAGTACACAAACTGCCTTGCTGTACGATCCATCCAGTGTGATGTATAGTAGAAAAGTTTGTTCTACGCTCTAATTTTGTATGCCTTCTATACTCCATCGTTCATAGTAATATTTATGTTGTTAAGGAATTATTAATTAACAATACTTCCCAACGCTGTAACTATACCAAATGATTTCTATACATATCCTACGTTTATTGAATTATCCCAACAAATTGGGTTAAAATGATTAATATCTTTATGTTTTAGCGTAATGAATTAATACAATTTTATTTATGTTAGAAGGTACTTTAAGGGAGTAATTTGCAAAATGTCGCATCAAATGCTTGTACGAATTAAAAAAAAAATAATTCTATTTGATATTATAATAAAAGCGTGTATGTTTCAGATGATATTATCACTGGCATAGTAGTAGTTAAAACGTGGAAATGACACCTATCGTTGCTTCGGTACCGAATCAGTATTTGAGAAAATTGTTGTTAAGCAGAATTTTAGTCTGACGTAAGTGTTTCTTGATTAAATTTGATAATAATGATTGATTAAATTTCAACGCTTTTGTTAAGTCGTTAGAAAAAAAAAATAAAACACAAAAACATTCCTAAATTTAGAAAAATAGATTTTACGGTGTATTAACATTTTTTAATAACTTTGTTACTTATATAATCATGTTGTTAATTTCAAGATTTTAAATTCATATTTATACGTGTTATACTTGTTTAAATTATTAAGGAGGAAAGATCTATCATTTTAATTGATCTTTGATTCGTATATTTGTCGTGAAAAAAGAACATGCAAGTACTCTGTTTTAATAGACTCATTTTGATAAACTGTAAACATAATATATATTATTCATGTGATGTATAGTACAAATGAATGATTATGTTATGAGAAAATCACCGTCGCGACAGAGCGCAATTATAGGTGACATTTATACGCTTTGTAGACAGTCATTTAACATACGAGCTATTGTGTAAAATGTATCAATAGTAATGTAAAAAAGGAAGGCTTCGAACCCGAAACTTCCAGATACTTGGATCTCTTGCACCGGATGTATCTCTCATAATTACTTAAACATTGTACCAAAAGACTGCACAAAATGGAATTTTACCTTCCTCTTAAAAACTAGATGCGTACAGAAATCACAACGGCAAACAAGATGATGAGATAGACATATTTATCAAGGATCGAATACATAATATTGGATGTTGAATGAAGCAAGAAGTTTAGCAGATGCACTGGCATAGAAAGTTTTGTGTTTTTTACGCTGGATTAAATGTAAAGCAATACCCACAATGTGATCACTTGAGCTACGCATTCATGGGAAAGGAAACAGAAAAGAAACTGTTACGAGGCTCTACAACTCTCCTGTATTGCAAAGAGCAATATGACCATTGTAGCGTTTTCACTCCCCAGTTAAAATTGTGGAAGACAACAGCAAAAAGAGTTTCATCCAAGCAAGGACTAGTGAAATGAATCATGATTATTTATGAGATATTAGGGTGTACAGAGATTCACCTGCCACTCATCGTTTGGCAACATGTGATCTTTGTGGACTTTCGTCATGGGCATAGAACAATGTGTTTAGACTTTCTACCTTTAAAAACTTCCATACGATGTAGGTGAATAATGTCGTCTAATTAAAAAGCATTGAACTCGTCTTGTCACCCGTATACATACATACATATACATATATATATATATTTAAAACTTTATACGACGGAATATATGTGAATGTGTAATTAAGATTAGGAATAAATCTATATACAATAAACCTTGATCTCATTAAGTGCAATCGTTGACGTGTTTGTTCTACTAGTTGAACCGGGGGTCATGACATTTGATGGGTGACTATAGCGAACGAATACGTCAGAATTCAATCAGAGTTTATTGTATTAGAAACGATACAATCAATTGGTGCACTTGTGATTTAGTGTTGTAAAACAGTATGCGATCTTGCGATAGAATTATGTTTCATCGAATCGAAATTGTGAAGTTTTGAAATTTTATCGCCGAAAAACAAACGATAATGTAAATCCTTTACTTTTTTTATTTCTGCATTGCGCGATAAATAGAACTATGATCAAGTGCTTCTGCGTGTAAGGGTGCGTTCAAACTGAACGAGCAAGAGCATTTTTTCGTGCGAAAGTTTATCGAGCGAATGTTCGTGAACTTTAAACTAAGCGTTCGATGCGATGAATTGAATTACGTCGATTTGAGTCGTGTCAAATTTTATTACGTTAAATTGGATTACATCGAAACCGATTATAACTAATTGTATCGTGTAGAGTGTTGGATTAACAGGCATTCTTGTTAGAGCATTCGCTCGCCTAATTTGAATGCACCCTAATGCTTGTGTCGGTATGCGATGTTTCGCAATGCATCGTTTCGGCTTGGTGTTTCTAAAAAAAGAAAAGCGTAGGAATTCATGTGTAATTGGAATGATGTATCTCTAGATTATTTTCTCAAGTGATTCGTTTACAGAAAATGAGAAGTATTCGATATCTCTAGGTGGAAATGTAATTCTAAATGGCACTGGAATTTCCCATCCACGTGTGAATGTTTATCTGGAATGTTTAATGTTGTAACATTGAATCAAATTAATCTACGATAGTGTTAAGTAATGGAAACGAGCACTTTTACACAGGATAAAAAATCGAACTTCCATATTCATCGCGTGATTCGCGAGAAAAAAAAGAAGGAAATAGACGTTTTAAAATCCCTGTACCCTATGTTTTAAATTGGCGATAGTACCGTTTCTATGAGGAAACAATATTTTGCATCAACATGTACTGATTATGTAAGAGATTGTATTTACTTGCACAAAATAACAATTGGATAAAAGAAAAATTAATTATTCTCCCTTGTTTTATCCTCTTCTATCACAATTAATTTTTAAGATTTAACCTTAATTGATGAAATTTTACATACAGTATTAATAAATTATGCATTTATTGAAACATGATTACAAATAAAAAGTACATTACAAATTAACGCGTTTAAAATTCATTTTGATTTCCATCAGTCGGTAGAATAAAATCGATGTTTAAATACAATAATCTTACTGAAAATATTTATTCATCAATATGGGACCAGGTTTCACATTATTTCAACGAATTATATCAAAGGTTTATTCATTATATTATACAGTTATAGTGCATGTAGCGAATCGTGATACATATTTTCATAAAAAAGGCGGCATGAACAAAGATATATGATATAACTTGACGTAAATAAATTTGCTTCAAATCATCGGTCATGACACTATACATCTTGTTCTTTCGCTTCTCGACATTCGTAAAAATATGTCACCCTACCATCGTCTGCACTAAACGTCACAGAATACCAAGTCAAGCGTAAAACACGTTAATCGATCGATTTTGCAATTGAAGCAAAGAAAAGAATCGTATAAATACTTTACATTAGCAATGCTTCAAATCGTTACGGTTCTCTTATGAATTCCGGATGCCAAGTGCCTGTTCTAACTCTGCACGTTTCTGTTGAACCTTCGTGTAGAAGTATCTGCAAACAGCTTCTTGTGCCCAGGGTTGATAATAAAACTCTGCCCTACGTTCCTCTTCTGGATTACCAACAACGTCTATCATCGTTTTCAAGTCTCTCGTTTGGGATATAATCCATTTGTTAATAAATTGTTGAGGATCTTTGGCAAAACTTAGGAAAAATTCTCGGTTTGTTTTCAACTGATTGATCGTTTCGACTGTTTCGTGAATTTTGTTATCCAGACTTTGTATTTCCTGTTGACTCGCCGTTGAAAGTAGGAAGTTGTTCATTTGAGTTTTCAATGTGTCGTCGACTTCTACGTCTATATCATAACATGCAGTCTGTTTTGTTTCTGTACCTATGGCATAATAAAAAGGTTACATTATAAACGGCTCTTGTTCAACTTTTAACATTTAAAATGTTAAAGAATCGGGTTACCCCATAGCTTAAATTATCTATGGTTATATATACCTTCCACGCTAATAACATGGTTTATTACAATAGGGTCAGGCGGATGAAGTAGCGGATTCAGTCGTTGTGGTATCTCCGCAAATTTCATTCTTGAACAAGCAAATATTTGTTCCAAATACTTATCACAGTTTATGAATTCCCTTTCATGACTGTCCTGAAGTTTGTGTGTTTTAATATACTGCCACAGTGCGGAGATGATAACAGGTCGCGTTTGCGTGTGTACTCCTAAAAGTCGTGCTAATCTGGGGTCTAATTTAAACTGTAAAAGAAAAAGTGTGTTTTTAAGTCTGGATCCTTTATTCAAACTTTAGTTGGAAGTAATTGTTTGTAAACTGCATTACTTGTAACGGCTGGTAATCAAGGAGCAAAAGAATAGTGCATCGAACATTCTTGTCCCCAGGTCTTTTCACTTGGAAACCATCGGTTTCTTGCGTCGTCAATGTACGATGCCACTCAACCAAATGATTATCAGGTCCATATAAATCTTTATCCAATTCTATAACTAGACTTTTAAAGAATGAAGAAAATTTCCTTTTTACCTAGAAATTAAAATATTAATTTGATACTCTTAATCTCTGTGCAACATCCAGTTACGTACATTGCTTTTTACCTTATTAGGATCATTTTTTGTATCATCTAATAGACGACCTTCGACCCTAAGTTCCCAAGATGCAACAGAACCCTCTTCTCCTTCTCCAGCTTCTTTCGCTGGATAGAAGGTATTGGAAATAAATATTCGTAATTTTCTTTTCTGTTTCATGGGACGTTTCAGTGCTTCTTGTATGTCTAATCGTTTCCGCATTATCGTGGCGTCTAATTTTCTTTCAAATGCAAGTAAATCCATGTATGCTTGAGATTCTGGTACTAAATCACGTACTTTCTGTGGCAGTATCTTATCCGCCAATTTTTTCTTCTTCTTGGATGTGGAATGTGAAAAATCACTGTTCCAAAAATACCTAAATGAGTTTGTGTAAAAATCATAGATTCAAAAATCAATAAACCAATTTTGAAGCTTATGAAATGCAGTGAAGTTCCTGGTAAATTTGTAAATGGTATTTTAACATTTGTGCCATGATGAAAAAAAGTCAAAGGTAATTGAACGCAAAATCATAAGTATCAGTAAACTAGTTTCAAGAAGAAAGAATCTTTAATGCAGTCATAAAACGAATTATTGAACACAACAGATTAATGAGCATAATGATAAATACATGAATACAAAATTAAAGTACAACATGCACCACAGATAGACTTACGGCTTTTGTTGAGATATAGGTATACGTTGATCCGCGCTTCTCTTTCCAACTGGTGGGGTAGGCATTGGTCCTTGACGCAAATTCGAATATGGTTGATTCCCTCTGATTATACTAGCTGGACCAGGGCCTGTGTTTGCCATTTGGGGAGGCGGAGTAAACCCAGACCTTTGCTGCATCTGTATACAAATTTCATTTATAGACTCTGTTACCATATACACATTAATAACATCACACAATATACTCACAGGAAAATTTGGATTAGAATATTGGCGTAAATTTGGAGGTACAGATGATGCTGCGTATCTTTGAGGCGGTGGGCCATTATTCCCTGTATTTGGTACAGGAAACCTTTGCGCCATGTCTCTTTGGTGACTATCCTAACGATTGAAACCAACAAGCTCTTTATTTACATACATATTCGTGTTTTGTTTGTAGCTTAATACAGAAACCACTTCATGTAAAGTCATTCGTATTTCGTTGTACAGTAAGATCACATGAACCATTACTGAAGTATACAATCTTTTATTAAACACGTAAATTTATTTACACTTTCTTGTCTTACATAAAATTGTTTATTTATATGTACACAAATAACCGATAAAATATCTTTATAACAAATAATACACTTTACCTGACAAGTTAACTATGAGAAAACAAACACATAACCTTCAAAGGTGTACTTAATTATAACTCTACATAGGTTACAATTAATCACACTATTTTAAAAGTACATTGACAACGATTCATTGAATAATCAAATTCATAAAGCGAAGTAAATAAATGTACAAAGAAAACAGATATTAAAAACACTGTTTTCGGAGCTTCTCTCGGTTGTCCGTCAGATTCCAGTACATTTTTACATCACAACACAGTTGACTTAAAAGTGTTTCAGACAGTGAATTTCTGTGCTTCAATGCGAATCAGACTGCGAGGAAAACGAAGAAAGAGGAAAACGAGTTCGGCGAATAACGAAAAACCACCTACGTCTTCAAAGTTTTTGTCCACTTTCTGTGGAGGCTGCTGGAAAGCGGTAGATCACGCACGGATAATTTTTAGGTTCAGTCGTGCAGAGGGCGCTAATGTCGGTTGGAGTTTATGTGAATTTTCTTATTGGAGCATTTGGGTGTAATGTAGGCTTGCGATAAGGGTAGGTAAGGGGTAAATGTAGGAGGAAAATTTATTTACCGCTGGTTTTTGGTTTAGGAAAGTTGGGAGAGCCAGGGAGAGACGGGGAGAGCCAGGGAGAGTCAGAGTCGTCCAAATAGAGTTGGAAGGATCCAGCAAGATTTGGAAGAGTTTCCCATTTACAATAAAATACTGTTTTCGAAAACCTGCACAATTGTTTACGTGGATGCAAATATACATCGACACCTTGAATTCCTTCTAACATTAAATAAATGATTAATAGATGGTAATAATAGAATACCTTGAATGCCACCCCCGCGAGTTGCATTTTCATGAAACTAATTAATCACAAGATACAAGGATTTAATTTTGGACAGTTCATCTCTAAATCGTCTATAAATATGCAAGACTAGTTCCTCAGTCTAGAAAGTTTTACCAAATTTAAAAACAATGTGTTACCATCGCACGTGAATTTATCGGTAATAAAACTTTACCTACAAAGCGGTTTCTATGAGGAATCATGGGAACGACAGATCCTGAAATAGCGAAAATCTCCGAATCAAGAAAAGTTTGCATTTCCACTCCGAAGAGGGGGAGGCATGCAGAACGCAACGATTATATTTAAACTTGACTCACCACTCAGCAATTTCGCCAAATGATCATTTTCCTGCATATCGAATTAAGAAACCGAGTTCTAAATAAATATTATCATGTCTCGGTAAACCCGTAGGGCGAAAGGCCCTATACAGAGGCGCCCTCTTCAAGCTTAATTTTTCAACCTTTTCCCGCCTTTTTGCTCTTCGAGTTCCACAAGAATTCAAAAAGTGGATCACGTAATAATAACTCGCTCCATATAGCGGCTGGTTTATTTAAAGAAAAAAACCATCGACTCTTTACGCAACTTCATTTTGTTTTTCCTTTTTATCAGAATATTTAGACCGCCGGATGCAGGCGACGGTTTCTGGAACGCTTATTACGACACAGCGGATGTAGCTGAAATTTAGTACAAATACTGTTTTTCTTTTTCTTGCTTTTTGGGACAGCTTTTTGGTTCTTATACATTTTGGTGGGTAAATTACTCAAAACTGAGTTAGGGTGCAATTTGAGCAATTTTGGGATTTTAAGTTAGGGTGCAATTTGAGCAATTTTGAAATTTTAACTACTTGCAGCTTTTTTGGGAGTAGTTTCTTTTTTGGTGGGTAAATGACTCAAAACTGAATTAAGGTGCAACTTGAGTAATTTTGGAATTTTAGCTATTTCTCTCTTTAGGATCTTACAGCCCTAGATTTCTATATTCATAGATTTTTATATTAGTAGACATATGTATTTTTCGATTCATATTTGAATCCACAAATTGCTACAACTCCAGACTTTCAAATTCTTATACTTATTTACTCCCTTATATTATTCTTATTCTATTCTATTATTCTTATTCTATTCTCTAATAATTCTTATAGATATTTACTCCCTTAAGATTCCTAATTCTCCACGTTTCTAATTCCTCCAGTTTATAATTTAAACAGAATGTTACCTCAGAGACATTTAAATTCTCATACTTCCACTATTTACTCCCCCATTCCTTCACTCCTCTACTTCTCCATAAAAGAGTTATGTCACTCACCCCACTTCATCCAGCGTCCATCCTGCAAATCCCTCAGACCACAAAGGATCCTCCCTCGAACCACCATGTCCACAAAGATCCACCTACAATTTTCCTACAATTACACGGTGAATGATCGTCGTACCTCGACATACCTTGGCAGCCGTGATTTTGGAAATCCTACGTGTTCCTCTGTCCAAGTGAATAAGCTGCTAATATTAGACGTCTGAAAAGCGTGGAAAGCGCGCACACATAGCCGGGATGTCGTCTTTTTTCGACTCTGTGAAACGTGTATACACACGGGTCCAATCGCATTGGACAGCTCCGACGGAAGCGTGGGCCGTGTTCCCGCCATCATGCTGGGGGTATAAGAGGGACCAAGCCACGGACCAAGCACTTCAGTCCTCTGAACGAAACAACACAAGGTACAAGGATGGCTCTTGAACGTCAAGTGCGCGCCAAGGTAACGTGGAACACGAGGATCGTGCATTGTGATCATTGGAACATGGTGACTTGTGACATACTTGGTTTATCACATTGTTTGGTGACATCGTGATCTATTTGTGAAACTTGGAAAAGGGTTCCAATGATCTGGTTAGGTTCGATAGGCGTCTCATTGGATTTCTCGTTGCAGATCGCTGGAAAGCGTAACCCGGAACAGGAGAAGGAAGCCCAGGAATGGATCGAGACCATTCTTGGAAAGAAGTTCCCTCCTGGTGAACTTTTTGAGGACGTCATCAAGGACGGCCAGGTTCTGTGTCATCTGATGAACAAGATCTCCCCTGGATCGGTCCCTAAGATCAATACTACTGGTGGTCAATTCAAAATGATGGAGAACATCAACATGTAAGTAGTTACTGGGATCAGTTTCGTTCATTTCAAGCTTTATGCGCATTTAATTGGATGTGGATCTAGAACAGTTTGTAATTGGTCTTTGCTTTAGGTTCCAGAAAGCTCTGAAGGAGTACGGGGTGGACGACGTTGACGTGTTCCAAACGGTTGACCTATGGGAGAAGAAAGACATTGCGCAGGTGGTGGTGACCCTGTTTGCTTTGGGACGCACGGTACGTGAACTTAATTTGGGGTTTCAAGGTCTGGGCTGAAGGTTACATCTTGAGGAGACAGTATGATGTTCATAGCATCAGCTTAATATGGGGTTGCAAGGTCTGGGCTGAAGGTTACATCTTGAGGAGACAGTATCATGCACATAGCATCGGCTTAATTTGGGGTTGCAAGGTCTGGGCTGAAGGTTACACTTTGAGGAGACAGTGTCATGCACATAGCATCAGTACTAACTGATGTAGTCACTGTTTATTTGTGAAGTCTTTAACTCTTATTGGTCCAAACTAGCTACCTCTAGATGTGGGATCTCTTAAAGACCTCCTAAATATCTCCTAAAGACCTAGAGATCTAGTCTCTAACCTGAACTAGACCTAGGACCTAGTCTCTAAACTAGACCTAGGACCTAACCTAGCCTAGAACCTAGTCTCAGACCCAATCTAGATTGAAGGATCCTAAATTTCCTCATAAGCTCTTAATGAATTCAGCAGCCATGATGAATTTTCACCTATTTGCAGACATACAAGCACCCAGAATGGAAGGGACCCTACCTAGGCCCGAAACCCGCAGACGAATGCAAACGCGAGTTCACAGAAGAGCAATTGCGTGCCGGTGAATCGGTGATCGGTCTACAAGCTGGCTCCAACAAGGGCGCCACTCAATCCGGCCAGAGCATCGGTGCCACCCGCAAGATCCTCCTTGGAAAGTGAACCATCGATCCACTCCGTTAGACCCGAAAATTGTGTATTTTGTATGTACATGTATATACGTTATGTATTTATTTTGTATTTTCTAATTAAACCATCCATACACACATATATCGATTGTTTACGAAGTTGTCAGGACTTATCCTACATCCGGTCATGCTTTTTAGATATTTTTAGAAAATAAATCATTCTATAGGAAAAACAGGCTGTCTCGATTTTTGGCCCGGAACCTCGCTATTTTCCTGCGCTGGGGGCTTCGGGAATAGAATAGAATTTGGGGTGGAATTGCAATAGCGCTAACTGGGATTTATATAGCAGGGAAATATGAGGTTCTGTCACACAATGTAATTAATAGAGAAATTTTGATGTAAAGAAAATGTAACAGGGCTTGCGAGAATAAGGTTCCGTGTGAATGGACCCTGTTCTTAATTGATTCCATTAATTCAAGCCAATAATCTTGTCATCGTTTCAAAATACAAAATCTGATGAAAACAAGTGTACCGGTTATTCGAAACATGTCTTCATTAATTATTTGGACAAATGAGGCCGACATTCCTGAGTTTTCTAGAATCTTCCAAATGAAAATACTGTCTCGGCCAACGTTGGTTTTACAATATCTGGCGGTAATAGATACATTCGTGTCCAGATTTTCTTTGATCTTTAAATACGCGGTTTTCTTGATTTATCGAAGTTGCGTTCTACAAATTATGACAAAGACCCAATTCCGAGGAATGTTTCGTACAACAACCCGAGGAAATCATGGGGTTTGAACAACAAACTGCTGCATTGAGTTTTGCGACGATGGTTGAGGTTATGGTTACACGGGATATAATTAGATCGGGAGAAAACAGTGTAAATCCTTGCGAGAAGGTTATAATAGCCCACTGAAAATAGAGATCACATGTGTTATGGTAGAGTAAACGAAATTCATGCCATTTGAAACGTTTGGGTTTTGAACAAGGATTGGTCCTTCAAAGTTTCACGTTCAAACGTAATCATATGTTTGTTATTTTAAATTAAAAATTGCAGTAAACGTAATCATACGTTTGTTATTTAAAATAATTTCAAATTGCAATAAACGTAATCATACGTTTTTCATTTAAAATTGCAAATTGCAGTAAAAGTATAAATAAATCAGACTAAAATTATTCAAACGTTTCAATTCATAATTTTATTTACGTATTATTTCATTATTAATTTACTTCCTATATCATTAAAAAATTCTTCTTTGAAAGGGGCTCCCGAATGTCAGACGCCATTTTAGTACGGACCTGATTTCCCGAACGATGTTGTTAATGTTTCCTTTCTTGTGTCCTAATAAAGCCGCAACAGAATTTATTAAAAGCATTGGGTTACGTTGTTGGACACCGTGCAAAAGAGTGTCTGTCGCGGTTATTGGACTTGTAACAAGTTTTCTAGTAAATTAAATCTCTGTTCGTTGACTGGTTTAGATACATTTTGGTGCGGCGAAACTTTCTTTGGATGACAGGAGACGTAGAGGTTCTAAGATAGACGTAGACGTCCTAACACTCTTTTAGCTATTCAAGATTACTTGTGAAGGTGGGAGCTTTGTTTAAGATCATTCTAAGTTTTTCTAGGTTTTTACTTATGATGTTGCTGTGGAAATGGACATATGTTACATATTAGCATATTGTACTATTACGTAGCATATATTACTATGCGTTGCTTTGCAAGATGTTATATTGGCACGTGTTATCGTGCGTTGTATCTCCATGCGTTATAATACCACGCGTTGTACCTTTACGCGTTATAATATCACGCGTTGTATCTTCACGCGTTATACTATTACGCATGGTGTCACCACACGTCCTACTGTCACGCGCTGTACCGTCACGCGCTATATTTCCACGCGTTATACCTCCACGTGTAGTATCTCCACGCGTTGTATCACCACGCGTCCTACCGTCACGCGCTGTACTGTCACGCGCTATATTTCCACGCGTTATACCTCCACGTGTAGTATTTCCACGCGTTGTATCACCACGCGTCCTACCGTCACGCGCTATATTTCCACGCGTTATACCTCTACGCGTTGTATCACCACGCATCCTATTTCCACGCGTTATACCTCCACGTGTAGTATCTCCACGCGTTGTACCGTCACGCGCTATATTTCCACGCGTTATACCTCTACGCGTTGTATCACCACGCATCCTACCGTCACGCGTTATACATCCACGTGTAGTATCTCCACGCGTTGTATCACCACGCGGCCTACCGTCACGCGTTATACCTCCATGTGTAGTATCTCCACGCGTTGTATCACCACGCGTCCTACTGTCACGCGCTGTACCGTCACGCGCTATATTTCCATGCGTTATACCTCCACGCGTTGTATCACCACGCATCCTACCGTCACGCGCTATACATCCACGTGTAGTATCTCCACGCGTTGTATCATCACGCGTCCTACCGTCACGCGCTATATTTCCACGCGTTATACCTCCACGTGTAGTATCTCCACGCGTTGTACAGTCACGTATCGTGTTACCACGCGTTGCATCTCCACAATTGCTTCCGCCATGCGTTGTATTATTACGCGATGTACTATCACGCGTTTTATCACCACGCATTGAATTGCTTAGCGCCGTATCGCCACGCGTTATACGATAATGCAGCGAACAGTCAATTTAATATCCTTCTTCTCCCTTAGATTAGAATTCCTCTAATTTCTCGCTAGATGCACTTAGTCTCTCCTTAGAACTACACGTAGAACGATGTAAATTGTACTGTGCAGGACTAGGTAAGCCCAATGTAAGTCCTATAGTCTTATAGTATAATATGTATACTGTCCAGTACTTAACTTATCCGAGTACAATATCTACGCACTCTAGTACCTAATCTTAGCCTAGTACAATACTTACAGCTTTCTTAGATGTTCCCTATATCCTCCTATGATTTGAGAAGCTTAAATTGCATAAATTTTGACACCATTCTGTCAAGCTTCACTCAACCTATAAGTGTTATCTTACCTCTTTCGAAGTAGTTATGATCTAGTTATGATCAGACCTACTTGTATACTTGGATCACATCTTTACTGACAGTCAACAACAGGTGGAAGAAAATTGAATTGCAGCGGAACACAGTGGACGCAAGCCGACGAAAATAGTGTGATATTGTAATTGGTATTGTGTATCGTCGTTGTATATTCAAGTTGGCACGGCCTTCGTTCGTAACAGGTCGGTCTAAATTTATTTTCACCTCTTCCAGATGCGCGAAGACTATCTACGCCTCGGTCCGTACAATTTTGGAAAAGCGAGTAGAGAACCGTTCTCGTTCGATTAAATTTGATCGAACGACGTAGTTAATTTATGGAATATTTTGTTGAAGAATGATTTCTTTCGCGCAGGGGAAAAATGGTTAAAGGATATGAGTCTTTGATTTTGAGTCTTGTCGAATATAAATATTTTTGATATTTCGAACTAAAATTAAATATGCAATAAACCTCTGAATTCGCAAACTGAGTCGACACATTCCCTGGCAAAAGTATTCCTGTATATCGATATACTTTCATGTGTATATACTTTTGTAACGAAACAATTTTATTGCTCATACGTGCACTGTAGTTGTAGTTAAATTTAGAGTTTCGACTATTATTGATTATTATTATTATTTTGATAATTGAGTCACGTGACTCGGTTTGTAAACGTACAGTAAGGATTAGAAATTGGGCACGATCCGTTATTTTCGAGGGTGAGACTGTTGTGGGTGGCAGCGTTATTTGTAGCGAGAAAAATGATTGTTTACTGCCAACTATAAAATATTCGAGAAATAACGTTGGACAGAATTCGTGACTCACGTGCAATATTTTTAATATTTCTATAAAATTTGGGGGGTAATTGTAATTACAATTCTTTACACTTCATCCAATGTTATCTTAAAATATTCAACTTCCAACTCGGAAGGTTTAAATTAAAATTTGAAATTTAAAAATTTTCAAAAATATCGGGAGTTGACTTTTGGTGAGCAGAGTAAATTGGGGAAAATTTTGAAATATTGTCATGTTTCGATTCTGACTAAATTTTGTAAGCAAGCTTCTTTTTTTAAAAGGTATCTGTGCGAACAGCTTTTGGTCATTCAAACGAGAATTACCATTCCCTATATTACCGACGAGGCACAGTATAGTGTGCGAATTGCACTAAAAACATAATTTGCATGTATAGACCCACCGGGTATATTATAAACATTCTAAAATCAATATTAATGCATATGTAATAAATATATAGCATAGTAATCATTAAAATCGATGTAAATTGCATTTTTTTTTTTTAAAATCGAACATGTGGCGCCATCTCTCCGGCGAACAGGTCTCCAATATGACTTAACGCATATTATAGTCAATTAAGCTAATAAAATTTACTATTTTAATAGAATTGAACTAGGAACATACACGTAGCGCCTCTGGCGGTAGAACGTGGTGCCAGTGTTGGGCAGTCCCAGTGCATGCGCAGTAAACTATCCGTAGAAGTCCTCAGTAGCGTATACACTTTGATGAAATATAGGGTATCATTAGGCCCTAGTAAGGGAAAAGAAATAAATCTGAAGAAAATTGCAGGAAAGAGAATAAAAGGGTTAAATAATACAACAGATTATATATAACAAAAGTAATGTTAAATTTATTTATGATTATTATTATTTTTTTACGTTTGCAGTCGATTTGTTATATGAAAACCAATATTTGTTGCAAGAGCAATAAATTTGTTAATAAACTACCAAAAAATATAAAATTATAAAAAATATGACGTTAGAATAATTATACAGCAACCAATGAGAGTGGCTGCACGCTATTGGTGGATTACATGATGTCTGATTGGCTACTGTACACTAGCAATCACTCTTGCACTTCGATGTGATCTATTGGTCGATTACGTGATGTCTAATTGGCTACTGTAAACTACCAATCGCACTTACACTTGAAGAGGTCGCCGCTGCTCAGTTTTGTTTTGGAAGTCGAGGAGGTCGGATCGGCCCTGTCAACACTTACCGGTACGAGTCAAGGGTTTACTTTACCGATATTGTGCTTGTCCCTGTATTACCTACTGTGCTTTAATAAGTGTTTAGTGTGTTTTAAT